ATTCCTCTGAGTTCTTGTAGCAACTACACTATCCACTATGGTAGCCACCAGACATGCATGTATATTTCAGTTTAAATGTAAATAAAATAAAATAACGATTATTTTTCTCAATTGCATTAGCCATATTGTAAGTGCTCTATAATCCTATGTAACCAGTGGCTACCATATTGAATAACACAGATTTGGAACATTTCTATTAGTATAAAAAGTTGTATTGGGCAGTGCTGAAAAGAGCTAATTTTCCCTCAAACACCGTTCCATTACTGCTACATTATGTACATGAGATTCTAGAGTCAATAAATGAAAAAAAAAAAAAGCTCAAGTTAGTCAGATAATAAATACTGAGTTACACAAAGATGTATGCACGTATGAATCTATGTACAGGCAGACCTTGGAGATATTGTGGGTTTGGTTCCAGACTACCTCAATAAAGTGAATATTGCAATAAAGACAGTTAAACAAAGTTTTTGGTTTGCCAGTGCATATAAAAGTTATTTTTAACTATACTGTTATACATTAAGTGTATCTTAAAATGCAATACCTTAATTATAAAATATTGTATTGCTAAAAAATGTGAATGATCATCTGAACCTTCAGTTAGTTGTAATCTTTTTGCTAGCCAAGGTTCTTGCCTTGGAGTTAGTGGCTGGTAAGACTGATCAGGGTATGGTTACTGAAGGTTGGGGTGGCTGTAGCAATTCCTTAAAACAAGACAACAATGAATTTTGCTGCCTTGATTGACTCTTCCTTTCACCAAAATATTTCTCTGTACTATGTGATGCTGTTTGATAGCCTTTTATCCACAGTAGAACATTTTTTCAAAATCGGAGTAAATCCTCTCAAACTCTGCCACTGTGTTATCAATTAAGTTTATATAATATTCTAAATCCTTTGTGGTTATTTCAACAATGTTTACAGCTTCTTCACCAGGAGTGGACTTCATCTCAACAAACCACTTTGCTCATCCATAAGAAGCATCTCCTTTTTTGTGGAAGTTTTGTCATGAGATTGCAGCAATTCAGTCACATCTTCAGGCTCCACTTCTAATTCTAATCTCTTGCTATTTCTACCACATCTGTAGTTACCGACTCTATTGAAGTTTTCAACTCTTCAAAGTCATCTATGCAGATTGGAATCAACTTCTTCCAAACTCCTGTTAATATTGATATTTTGCCCTCCTCTCATGAATCACAAATGTTCTTAATGGCATCTAGAATGGTGAATCTTTTCCAGAAGGATTTCAATGTAATATGCCCAAATCCATCAGAAGAACCACTATGTACAAGTGCTGTAACCTTATAAAATGTATTTCTGAAATAATAAGACTTGAAAATCAAAACTATTCCTTTATCCATGGGCTGCAGAATGAATATTGCATCAGCAGGCATATAAACATCATTCTCCTTGTGTATTTCCATCAGAGCTCTTGGGTGACTAGGTGCATCGTGAAGAAGCAGTAGTATGTTGAAAGAAATCATTCTGAGCAATAGGTCTCAAGAATGGGCTTAGGAAACCATGCTGTAAACAGATGTGCTGTCATCCAGGCTCTGCTGTTCCATTTGGAGAGCATAAGCAGAGTAGATTTACCGTAATTATCAAGGATTCTAGGATTTTCAGAATGGTAAATGAGCATTGGCTTCAACTTCTTAGCCCCTAACAAGAGAGTTAGCCTGTCCTCTGAAACTTTGAAGCCAGGCACTGACTTCTCCTCTTTAGCTATGAAAGACCTAGATGACATCTGCTTCCAATAAAATCTGTTTCATGTACATTGAAAATCTGTTGTTTAACAGTGTCAACACCTTCATCAATTATCTTAGATCTTCTGGGTAACTTGCTGTAGCTTCTACATCAGTATTGATGCTTCACCTTGCACTTTCATGTTACAGAGAAGGCTTGTGTCCTTAAACCTCATGAATCAACCTCTGCTACCTTCCAGCTTTTCTTCTTCAGCTTCCTCACCTCTCTGAGCCTTCATAAAATCAGAGTAGGAGCCTTGCTCTAGATTAGCGTTTTGTTTAAGAGAATGCTGTGGCTGGTTTGATCTACTATTTGGATCACTAACACTTTCTCCATATCAGCAATAAGGCTGTTTCATTTTCTTATCATTGGTCTGTTTGCCGACTTCTAATTTCCTTCAAGAACTTTTGCTTTGTATTCACAACTTGGCTAACTGTTTGGCCCAAGAGGCTTAGCTTTGGGTCTATCGTGGCTTTCAACATGGCCTTCCTTGCTACACTTTTTGTTGTTGTTGTTGTTGTGAATTTCTAGCTTTTGATTTAAACTGAGAGATGTGAGACTCTTTCTTTCACTTGAACACCTAGAGACTATTGTAGTGTTATGAGTGGTCTAATTTCAATACTGTTGGGTCTCAGGGAATTGGGATTCCCAAGGTGAGAGAGAGAGACAGGGGACTTATCTTGGACTTCCGAGGGCATTTCACAAATTAATGTAAACTGTGATGCTCTAAGAGTGGAATACAAATATGCAACTTTTCTCAGATTTGTGTTACAGTATTTTTTCGAGAAATAGCTCCAGGGAATTATAAACTTTAAGAAATACAGATAAGCATTAGCATTATTAAAAATAAAGTATGAGTATCGCTGGGCACAGAAAGGTGTAACAGAATCAGTTTGCAGTTTCTCACCTTCCCCATGTAATTTGCCTAATAATGTGCTGAAGAGAAGGTTTTATGCCAGTTCTACCTTCCTTGCCTCCCCTTTGACAATCATCTCTCTCCCACTTTACAAAAGAATGATATACTTCTCAGCCCACCAGAAACTTATCCTGGTGCACTGTCCCAATAAAGAGCTGGGATCGTAAAAGAACAATTATTGCAAAAATTCTTGCAATCAATGCACATAATCCCAGAGAGGTACTGCAATAACATTTCACTTTCAACTTTAAATAAAATATTGATAAACAAGTATGTAGTTTCAATCAGTGATGCACTAGTATTAACAGCAATAATTCAATTCAAAGAAGATGTAAAAACTTACAGACTTTTGGTGGCAGGAAATTTTAAAATTTCAATTACACACTTTTTTTGGAGCAAAAAGTGATATAATTTTCTGAGGTATTGAAAATAGGAATTCAAGGAGAAACTACAGTTTAAGAAAAAAAAATGCAATATATTAAGGAGGATCTTGTTTTTTTCTCTTATAAAATTAGCTCTGGTATTTAGATTCCACCAGATACATTTAAAAAAATCACCGAAGAGTTTTGTTTTAAAATGTCAATATTTACAATATGCTGCAAATTACCTTTTGCAAACATTTACCACTATGAAATACATTAGAGGCCAAATTAAAAACATTGAGGGTGTGTATAGGTTTTGAAAATTACTTCTTTATTAATAAATTATGAAGTGTCCTACATCATCTATTTTTGGTGTTTTGAAATGTTATAATAATACAGTAAACAGCTAACATATTGAATGTTTCTGCGTGTGAGGCAGTCTTTTATCTGTATTATCTAATCTTAACAAAATCCTTTCAGACTGTAACCATCACCACCTTTGCTTACAATGAGGAAACTGAGGCACAGACTAGTAAAGTAATTAAACTACAGTTACCTAGTACCAAAAAGTGAAGCTGGGATTTGGCTCCAACCAGGCTGGGCTTCAGAACTCACACCGCAACCCACGGCACAGTATTACCTATTTATGTTTTTCCTCCATAAACATTCAAATGTTGAAAGCTTATCTTTTTAGTTAGGTTTTCAAGTCATGGAAGGCAAGGCCATCCCATAAAGTTCTCTATGCTCCATAACACCTAGGATTGAGTTTTGCACATAAAACATGCTTAATCAACATTTTCTGATTAGACATTTAACATTTTCAAGAATTTCTCTCCTCCATCTAATAATCATGAATGACCCTCTTAAAATATACACCATCTGGCTGGCTGTGATGGCTCACACCTGTAATCCCAGGACTTTGGGAGGGGGGCGGATCACGAGGTCAGGAGTTCAAGACCAGCCTGGCCAACATGGCGAAACCCCGTCTCGACTAAAAATACAAAAATTAGCTGGGTATGTTGGCACTTGCCTGTAATCCCAGCTACTTGGGAGGCTGAGGCAGGAGAATTGCTTGAACTGGGACCTGGGAGGTGGAGGTTGCAGTGAGCTGAGATTGTGCCACTGCACTCCAGCCTGGGCTAGAGAGGGAGACTCCATCTCAAAAAACAAAAACAAAAACAAAAACAAAACAAACAAAACAAAAGCCCTCCCAAAAACCCACAATCTAATAGTAAACTTTATCCCACTATTTATAAGGAACCTAAATCCATATAGCTGACTACCATCGGTGGAAATATTTACGCAACAACTTTAGTAGTGGTTATCTCTATGTATGCTGATTAATGGTTAATTTTATTTCTTCTTGCAGAAAATAAATTGTTTCTTATTATTTGTATTTTCCTATTGAGGGGCACGTATTATTCTTGTAATAAAAAAGGAAAATAATATTTGTTATTCTGACAATATTTAGAATTCACAAATACATCAAACAAAAGGAAAAGAAAGGGATATAAACAAGCAAGAAAGAAGAACATCAACACAGGAAGGCTGCAGCACACGAGGCGAGTCAGAAGGTTTGGGCTGAACACTCGGGAGGGCCTGTTTCTCCTTACCTGGAATGAGGAAGCCACAGGGCCCTGGCAGCCCTAGGAGCAGGGCACATGTTCAGACAGGGCAAAAGCAAAACATTTGACTTGTTAGAGGCTATGACAGGAATTTCCAGAAATTGTGAACTCTATATTTTTGATACATTTTCAAGAAAACTTGGCCATTTCCAATGGACTACTTCTGAGATTTATTTGAAAAGCCTAATTCTTTACTTGGGCACCTCGGGTAACTGCTCTGTCTTGTCCAAGCATGGGCTGAAGAAACAATCATTTATTGGGCTTTTCAACCATACCTTTGGAGTGACAATTGGTTGTCTTTTTTCTTTTTTACTTAATATAGTAATGCTTAAAAGAAATGCAAATGATTAAAAACCATACCTTGACAGGTAAATTTTTTGGAGGGAGTTGTGAGTAAAAGTTTATCTGCCATTTCTCCAGGACCAGCACAACGAGCAATTCCAGGCTCCTTATATTCCGACTTCACCCAGTCGGATAACCACTGCATGTTACAATCACAGTAAAGAGGGTTGGCTCCAATTGCTCTGGAAAAACAACACCACAAAAGCACACACACATACACATACACACACACACACACAAGTATGGAAGGATTGTTATTTCCTAAGGGCAAAGAATTCAAAGTGATGCTCAGCAGAAAATCCCCATAGATATACTGAGGATAACAATTTAGCAAAAAATAGAGACTCTGGGGATTCCCCATTTTCCTGAACGATGTGCACTGGGATTTAGTGAGTTGTCACTGGTGTTAATACTCATCTTGCTTTAGAAGGTCTCCTAATATTTTCAGAGACGTGTTTATATTGAGTGTAAGCACACCCTGAGTGCATTAACATTTCATTCACCAATTATTTACTGATGACTTAAATCACAATGCAAGATTGTGAGGACCCAAATATAAACAACACATTATTCTTACCTCCAGAGAACCCTGCTGCAGAGGAGATTGATATTACATTAGGATATACTCACAGATGCAAAGAAGTTTCATTAGAAGTGATGTAGGAAAAGTATTTACAAGATGATGGCGAACCAACAGACTAACTTTTGTGGGAGGCTAGTGGTTAAGAAACTCTCAGCTGTGTAGGATAGTTAGAGTTAAGTAGAAAGAAAGGTTGGGAACAATGATGCAGGTAAAGGACAGGTAAGTACAAAGAAAGAACATAAAATACTGAAGATGTCTAGAGCTAGCTCACCAGAGCTGAGCTGGACCTGCACTGGGTGGTGTCTGTCCCTTTTCAAGGTCGTTCATTTTATGGTTGTTCATTAGTAGTAGTGACAGGAAAGTAATTAAGGTAATAGCTAACATTTATTGCACTATTACTATATGCAGGAGCTGGGATAAGCCATTTATAAGAATTACTTCATTTTATCCTAAATAGTAACTTTATAAGGTCCATTTACTTAATAATTCACTTTACAGATTAAGAAACTGAGACCTGGACTCTTAACCTTATAAAGCTTGGATTGAAGCAGTAGGTGCATACAATGGCATTTAAAAACGGCTTACTTCTGATTTACAATTAGCTTCTAACTAATAAGACCTCTAGGTCTACTGCCAGGAGAGTTATGTTATGTTTTTTAGGTAGCTCCCCAGATATATGTGTAGAGTCATAATACTTGATATTGTGGAAGTTTTAATGCCCCATTTAAGAATCAGAATGTAGTGAATGTTATGCGCATATGTATGTCAGATTCAAACCCTTCCAAACTGAAAATGAGCAAAATGTTTTTTAGTCATTTGATCTCATCTCTGCCAACATTTAAGTCCTTGCTATGACAGGGGAGGAAGCGGGAAAAGTGAAAAAGCAGAGCTCTTTATGATCTAGGGGGTAAAAGACAAGGCACAAATGAAATGCAAGGCAGAGCAGGGCACAGGACAAGAAAGAGTCCACTTGCTCTCACTGTGGCGGGAGGAGGCTGGTAACACGAAGGGAAGTTCTGCTCAGCTCAAGCAGCACCTTTCCTGTGAAGCCGCTTCTGATGCCTGACCATAACACTAGCAGAACGGCTGCCTCCTCATTCAGGCTGCATTCTCTGCCTGAGCTAGTAGCTTTCTTCATATTGCAGCTCATGCATGTGGCAGCCATGGAGTTTGTAAAGGAGTGGCTTAGAGGTAGGTTCTTGGCTCAAAGACGAAAATGGAAAGGCCCTGCCTTCCTGGACCTAGTAGTTTAGTGGAAGGAATATTGATAGGCACCAGTCTGAGAGCCTGATGTACAAAACGTCAATTGATAGCACAGACTCTAGAAGGCAAATGCAGACATAATGTGATTGACTACTGGATCTCCAATTCAATTCAAAGAAGATGTAAAAGCATAGACTTTTGGGCAGGAAGTTTTAAAATTCCCATCATATATATATTTTTGGAGTCAAAAATGATTATTCCTTTCTCAATTTGGTAATCTCGTATCTTCTTGGAGTTTGTGGATTTTCAAGAGAAGTGCAAAACCGGGAGAGGATATGGCAGGTAATCTCTTCTAGGGAACTAGGGCACAACTGACATTGATGTTTAGGCTGAAGTAGATAGTTGCCACCAGGCATCCAACTGAACATCAGCCAAGGAGGCTTTGGATCCTAAGGCTGCAGACTGAACTTTCTTCTAGGTTTGCCATGATCTTAACATTACACCTAGTAATAATAAAATCACAGAATTTCACCCCAATGAGTGTTTTGGACTCCACTTATCACATATTTTCAAATGGTTGTATGGTACTTCCAAAAACTATGGAGATACCAACAAGTTGCAATCAGAGAAAACACAAAAGAAAAGCCATTTCACCCAATTTAAGCATTTGGCTGTGTCTTACTTCCAAACTATAGTCTTGAACCATGTTGAATTTATTTTTGTGTGGTGCCATAGTTGATGCTGAATAAACAAATCCACTTTGAGCAAATCAGGATAGGCTTCATAGAGAAGGTGATATTTGGGATGTGACTTAGAAAAGCAGGGTTAGGATAGATAATTGAAAGGCAGCTGATATTCTAGAATCAGAAAATAATGAGAGAAAAAGCATAGGCTAGTAAAGTTGGAGAGCCATTATTGTAGAAGAGACATGTTTAGCTAAGCAAAGATAATTTGACTAATGGAAAATAAGAGCCAGAAGGGAAAATTAAAGCCATCTTATAGACGGCATCATATCCAGTTTGAAAATCTTCACATTTTCTTTAAAGATGAAACCGGTTACATCTTATGATGTTACAATAAAAGAACTGGCAGAGGAATGTTCCAGGTCACTCACGAGGAAGGGTTTGACCCTAAACCTATATCCATAAACCAGGTACTCACAGATGTGACAATGCAGAAAGATCATTGAAAGCACCTTCAGGCACAGCAGAAATGTCATTTCCATGTAGAGAACTAAAAGAAGGAAAAAGAAAAAGTAAACTTCCTACATTTCTGAACTCATAGACTTCAGAGAAATTCTGAGACTTTAGTTTATAATAAGCATTTTAAATCAGTGCAGAAAAGATGGTCTATAAAATAAACCATTTCAGTACAACTGGATATCTGAGAAAGCAAACAGCTTCCACCTCGCATTATGTGTACAAAATAAATTCCAGAATGAAGAATTAAATGTAAAAATAAAGATGTATTAAAAGAAAATATAGAAGATCTCCCTTTTATAAACGTGGAGTGAGGAAGGCTTTCAAAGGCTCAATATAAAATCCAGAAACCATCAAGGAAAACAGGGAGAAATTTTTGACAACATAAAATATATCCAAACAATAAAATATTCCATATAAGAAACATAATAATATATATTTGCAACTTATACAAGGATTAATTCTTTTATTTAAAAAAAAATCCTGCAAGCATAGAGTCAAGTAGTAGATGCATAAAGGTATCTACATTAATAAGGAAAATATAAAGTACCTAACATAAAATGGGGAAATGATATGATCAAGCTCACTAGAATAAAATGCACCAGTGCTCAGTAAGCAAATAAAATATGCTCAAATGCTCTACTAATTGGAAGTGCAAATTAAGACAGGAATGCAGAATAACTTTCAATCTGTCATATGGACAAAAATAAAAGAATAAATAATACTCAATGTCTGCAAGAGTGTTTTGAAAAAGGTACTCTATTAAATAGTTGGTGGAAAAATAAACTTCTAAATGGACAGAGTCTTGTTTGGGGAATAACATGACAGTTACTTTTGGAATCCTTCCAATATACTTGACAGTACCTTCCCACACACCCTACATTCTTGCTGAAATGTCAGCATATTTGCACCAAGATGAATGTATAGGATGTTCATTAGAGTACTGTATAGTACTCATGAAAATTTGAAATTAAACCAAATTACAGTAAAGATGAGGATGATTGAATCAGTTCTGGTTCCTCCCACCAATAGAATAGTCTGTATCAGTTAAACAGCTGAGTTATAGGCATATATGTATAAATATATATCTATTCTATTCTTATACATGTATTTTTATTCATATAGATGATAGACTAGAAATATTCAGAAGCATATATTAAACAAAAATAGACAATGGTAGAACAAACACAGATCCTATTAATATTTGTGGCTTTTAAAAGTTATATAGCCATGGACATACATCTATGAGAACAGAAAAACATGCATCTGAAAAGGACCAGAGAGCACATCAAACTGTCCATTCAGAAGCAGGAGAGTAGGATCAAGGATCATGTTTTATTTCACATATTTTAAAGTACATTTTTATAGTAAAATGTTTTCATATACTATAATTTCTAAAGAAATTAATTTTGAAAGTTTCTCAAATTAATTTTGAAAGTTTCTTTCAAAGTTAATTGAAACTATATAAACCATATATCTTAATGTTACATATAATTAAATAAATGATTATAACAACAATCAGTATTACTAAAAATAAACTCACATTGTCCAAAGCAATGTTGGACAATGATACAGTAAGACATGATTTTTCTGTTTCCGCATTTATAATAAATCCTAATGCATGTATCTTCAAGCACCAAGAATCAACAAAGCAGTTCCATCCTTAAAAAGACAATCCCAAACTCAGATCTCTGAGAAAAGAGATATTTTGTTGAACCTAAGATGCTTACAGTAATCGAAGAGACTTTAATCCATCGAAGGTGCGAGGAGGAATACATCTCAGACGGTTGTAACTAAGAATTCTGAAAGCATACAGATGTCAATTTGTTTTATTCGGAAATCCAAGAATGGTCAAATACTTTAAAAATAAAGCAGTTAAGAAAAGGCTTATTAAAGCAGCTTATTAACCGACAGTGTTAACACACAATAGATTGTTATTTTTTGTGTGTTGTCACCCTAACACAACATACTTATTTTCTAAATACAACCTAGAATGCTTCCCTCTGCCTACCCCTACCCAACTTTGGTGCCTCAACCATCCCTTCCCTAAGGTGGATTTTCCCTATCTTAGGGATCTCCCCTAAGCCCCCCACAAACATAAATTATTCTTTGTTTTTTTTTTTAATAGAACCCAATACTTTTTCTAACATCTACATTTGTTCATGTATTGTGGTTTTGTCTATTTCTCCCAATAGAAACATTCCTTGAGGGTACAGACTGTCTTGTTCAATAGCAGTGTCCAGCATCTAGAGATTGCCCTTTGTCCAATGAATTAATGAATACTCAGTACCACACTTTCACACTCACAAGGTGAGGAGCTGCGTCATGTTGCTGAAGCTCTGATTAGAAAGCGTGCTTATTCTGTTGTTACTTAAATCTCTAAAAGAGAAAAAGAAATGGAGTACACTATTAACCACAGGAATGAAAATATTAGTGATTCTTAGAAGAAGAAGGGTCTTCTTATTCATAGTCACAGCAGTATTGTTAGCATTCAGCTGTTATCTGAAAACAACAAAACAGTGAATAACCCACTGTAGTAGACTGCAATGTTATTCATGATTATTTACACCTCACCGTTTTGAAATTAGGAGTGATTTTATGTATATACATATATGCATTGCTTTAGCCAATGTAGTGTGCATGCAAGGGGTTGGTTCACTTCAGAGCAGCAGCTTCAGAGTAGAGTTTATTGTCCCTTATCCCTCTGCTCCCATCTCCACAAGGCTTTTGATATTTTACAGAGAGCTTCCTTGGAGGTGACTTGTGATAGACACATTTTGCAGGTGGGAAATAAACCCTTATCCTTAAAAGTCCTATCAGATACACATACTTTACCCTCATTGAAACATATGTTCACTGACACACAGACTCAAATTTGATCACTGAAAGAACCCCTGATTAATGACATTCAAAATGCCATCAATAAAAACGTCGGTGCTCCTGCTCCTGGCTGAGTCATGGTCACATAGTAGGTCCTCAGTAAATATTTGTTTAATGAATGTTAAGTAAATGGGAGAGATGTTGAATTTTTACCAATGTTAAATGGCTATTTATATGGACAGTTTGTACTATGGGTCATAATTTACATTCCATGAACTTGATCTTATTCTCATTATATATATAGTGTATATATACACACACACTATATATGTAAAAAATATATTAAAATTATATATATGATATATAATACTAATATATATTCACCATATATAACTACATGTATTCACTATTTTTTTTCTGAAGCAAAATGTAAAATATATGAATAAATGGAAGATTCAGAAAAGCTGAGGATAATCTATTCCTTTATTAAAATACCAAAATGTCAGTAAAATGGACCCATGAAATTGTGAAACTGTTAAGAATCTGAGAGGAGCTTTATACTCATATTTTTAGCTGCTGAAGAACTATTCCTAAATTTTTAAAATAAAAGTATCTGTATTAGCAGAAGTAACTTGCCTAGAGTTGTGTAATGAGTCACTGGTAAAACCATTTTTGGATCCACAAATCCTCATTTGTCATTTCGAACTGGCTTGAAAGTAATCACATGCTGTCCCACAAATGAGCCAATTCTGCTAAAGTGACCCTTTGGAAATTGCAGCAATTTAATGGTTTATTTAACAGAACAAAATGTATGTAATCAGCTCTTGCTGCTATCAAATAAATAACTAGAAGCAGAACAAGACATCTTAGAGGATATCTTTTCCCGTTATTTAATCATTTGTCATTTAAATCGTCCTATTTACTTTCTATAGAGTGTTTGATTTACCCATACTTTCAAGGAATGTGATCAGCAGCAATTTTAACTAGCTTCAATTTACCTAGTTTACATTGGGGCATGTAACATTTTTGGCTACTTAGGTTTTTAGAATTCACTTAGAAATAAACCTAATTCTAGGAATACTAGTAATCTGCTTCTTAAGCTAGTAATATTTACTCTAAAATCATATAGACTTAAACAAATGATATGGTACTTTCGAAATTAATATCTACTATCTTTTTCCTGATTTTTTGTGTTCTGAAAAGTTTTCTCAATTACCAATAAGGCTACTCTAACAGTATGGTATTGTATGTAAAAGATTATATGAATTTTTAAGCATTGTGCATATAACCAGATCAAATGTTTGTATATTTAAATATCTTTTTGTATTCACAACTTAAGGGTGGTCAAAAGTTGTTTACGTTAATGAAAAAGAGATGCTATTTTAAGCTAGAAAATCAAACTTTTGAAATTTATACTCAAAATGTTAGTATCTTTGTCAAGTTTACCTAAATACTCCATGAATATATATGGATTTTATAAAATAAATTTTTATACTAGAAACCCATAACTTATTTAATAATGCTTTGTATAAGAAACAAATGTAATAAACTAAATTTATGTTTTTGGGAAAGTCATTACCACTTACCATCTTTTGCTTAAAGTCAAGAATAAAAGCATAGTTTTCTATCTTTCCTTCATTAGTTTGTCATAAAATAACCCATATTCACTATCAATAAAAGTATGCAGGTTTACACATTTTCATAATTCTCTGACTACTTAGACTTCGTTGTATTTGTGCTTTTTTGAATACAGGAGGACATCTTGCTATGACACTCCATCGCCTGATTGATAGTCAATGAAGATGTAGCCAGTGGTCTAGAACCGCAATGAGCAAGGAGGGAAGTATCTAACTGTGAATGATTTATATTATCTGAAAGGTTCATTAAATCTTCCGTCCCTTGCCATCCCCATTTTCTGGAAATAGAGTAAGTCAAAGAAAAGTGCAATATGTTACTCACATAAGTGTTAAATGTTTGTAGTTGGAGAGTTCCTTGGGAACCAGTGTAAATTGGTTTCCATCCAGATACCTAAAAACAAGGGAACAATATTATCTTCTTGCGAAGTTAATAGTGGCCTTGCATAAAATAAGTAAACAGTACTTCACTCTTAACTGAGGCAAGGAACCCCTTGGCAATTTTTGTTTTAAGATGTTGTGTTCCAAGCATAGATTATTATTTAAGAGAAGTAAAGGAAAAAAAAAAAAGAAAGCAGAGTTGTCCATGAGTCCAGTTCTTTGTGGTTTATCTAATAAGTCAAGCCAAGCATTTAGCCATCTGTGTGCAAGCAAGGAGGTTCATTCAATTAACCAAATTTTTAGTCAGCCTTCAGTTTGCTTGTGTTCATGTGGACACAATACCACAAAATTCATTAACTACTAACAAAACCTTGCTGCTGTGGCCAAGACCACTCATCGCTGCCTTAATATGTGTCAATACACTTAGTGAATAACAATGGACACATTAAAGGCATATTTGGGGATTTGAACATTAGGTTTAAGTTTAAAAAGAGTTTTAACCAACACATATCCGCTATGATGATAACATTAGGAGATTTTATGGAATATAAATTGATCAAATGTATAAATATATATATGTAACAGTAATAATCAAATAACCATATATAAGTAAACTTTCCCTTCTTATTAGAATCAGAAGAATAATCAGAAAATAGGTTTTGGGCTAACTGGCAGGACACAAAGATAATTGAATGCTTGAAGTTATATCTGTGACGTCACAATAAGGAAAATAAATTTCATCTCCTTCCACGGCTGTTTTTCCTAGAACGTAGATGGTGAAGGGTACAAATGTCTTTCAGAAACTGGGGCCATCTGACTATAGATGTGCACACAAACACTTCTGGGACATTGAACATGTGGCCCTTCCTACCCCAGTGCTGTGGTCCATTTCAAGATTCCAGGTCGACATTGGTATTTTTTCTGGATATAGAAGTAGCTGAGAAGTTGCCTAAGATAATAATTTATTCCTAATATTTCAAAATAAAAACAATGATATAAAAGGCAACAGTTATCAGAAAATATATTTAATGTTTGATAAATAATTGGGTCTATGTTATGACTCATCATGTCTACCTAAATTTTCTGACTTGATACTTCTTCTTAGACCCCTCTCCATTTTTTTCTTTCCTCTACCTAAGATTTTCTTGATACCACTAGAGGGAAGCATCACCCTATGTAGTTGAGCACTCTCTCTTTATTCCAGAAAACAGAGGAAGGTCAAAAAGATTCAGAATGTGCACTATGAATGCTTATATGTAAAATAATCTAAGGGGGGAAGTTATATGGAACTGATTAAAAATAATGGATACCATTTGCTCAAACTAGTCCACCAACAATACTAATTTTTGCCAAAGTCTTTAACTATTTAACGTAATACACATATGAAATTCTTCTAATACATGCATATATGTTACTGCTGAGAAGGATTCTGCTGACTCGGCAAGGTTACAAGAATAAGCTCTCTAGGGGGTAAAACTTGAATTCACAACAGATGAATTAATATTTTTCTCATCTCTATAATAAACTTTCTTTAGAAAAAAAGACTACCTTCTAATAATTTGTAGTAAAACAGATTGAAAATTCAACTTTTTGAATAGCTGAAGTAGCATGTAGATAGCACAGGGCATAAACCAAGCAGGATGTCGAATGGAGCTTAGTAAGAAATGTTTAAAGTTTTTTAATGGGAATAGAGTAAAGGGACCAATACATAGTACAGTTAAAACAGCAGAAGAAAGGATTTAGCATGAAAGGTGGTCTGAGTGTAAGTTCTTCATTGGTGTACTCCTAAAATTAATGCTTTGGACACAGAATATTCTTTTTAAAAATTTTTTTTATTTTTAATTATCACTGCTTTATTTTTATTTATTTTATTATATTTTAAGTTCTAGAGTAATTGCACAATGTGCAGGTTTGTTGCATATGTATCCATGTGCATGTTGGTGTGCTGCACCCATTAACTTGTCATTTACATTAGATATTTCTCCTAATGCTATCCCTCTCCCGTTCCTCTACCCCACGACAGACCCCGGTGTGTTCCTTGCCCTGTGGACATGGAAGATTCTATAGGCATCTAGCCTTCCCACAGAGCAGAGCTTCGGAAGATCCCTATGTGATCTTCTGAAATCAAAAATCATTAAGAATGAAATATTCAGTTACACACATATACATAAAAATCAGTCCTTCCAGTTGATTAACCAATGTGATTGGTAGTGAGAGACGACCTGAACACTTAACAGCCGTTCAAATCTAAAAGGCATGCTCTGTGCACATGCTCTAAGATTGTGCCTTTTTCCTCTAAGTGTTCCATTCAGGATCAAACTTAGGATTTAAGGAATTGCACGTGATTTGAAAATAAGATACTTAAAAATTGAAATGACATGTTCTGGAACCTCATTACCTATGTTGCACACTGTCAAAAGTTTGTCAAACCTGCTCATTTGGAATATGTGTGTGCACCTGCACAAACAACTGATATACATCCGCATAAATTACATGTGGGTTTAAATCATTATTGATTCATGGTTCCATATACATAAAAAATAAACAGAGGCAAAGTGACTCAATTGTATTCAGATCAAGCAAATCCAGAATATGACATTGGTTTAGAGACAAAGGAATGGAATGAATGGGGCATGGAAGCATCATTATTCTGGCAGCATATTCTCTAATGAATTCCATTCTGCAAGTGTAGCATGAGGCAGCCAAGGGAGTGTGGGCAGTGCAGAAGGTCGAGATGTGTATATATTGGCCATGTAATTTGTGGTTAAATATCAGTAATGAAAATGTCAAGGATAATTGGTCCCATACCCTTTAGGATCTAAAGGACTTTGATTCAAGCCACCAAAAGCAGCATCTCTTCTTAAGGGAAGAGATTATGCTAGTTTCTTCCATATACCAGATAATTATTTATCCTACGTGGTAAAACTTCCTCCTAGGGGTCACAGAGGTACAAAAGGAAGTTTCCCGTACAGAGTATCCTAGACTGTAAATAAATTAAATATAAAGTATTTCCCAAAGTGCATTCCATGGGCCATTAGTCTTATAAGATGCTCCATGAGAAAAGGGGTATAGGAACAAATAAATGTGAAAGATACCTTATATTTTACCATTGTTTCTTAAAGAGTCATAGTACACCTTAGCATAGTAAAGGCACTGAGAAATCTTATAGCATAAACACACACACACACACACTTCCCAAGGGCCTCTAAAGTCGCTTTTGCATTGTTTACTGTTTTACAGGATAATAATTAACTGGCCTTAGAATACGATTTGCAAAGAAGATTGTAAAGATTTTTGTTTGGTCTCCATTCCTCTGGGTGTGTGAAACATTTATCATCAAGGAAAAAGAAAAGAAAAGAAAGACAGGCTCTACTTACAACTCTGTGACATCTCTTGGAATACCTTTCGGCAAGACCTTCAAACCCTTGTTGCTACATCGGACAACTGTATCCAAGCAGGTACATTCCGTAGGACAGCGAGAAAGTGGGGAGCAACTATTGTCATCATTTCCTAAATTGCAGAGGAAATACAGGAAAACCCAGATTTGTGGTCTTGAAGGTGCTAGAAGGGATTTTATGCCTTTAAATTAACAAACACAAGAGTCTTAAGCTATATAATCATTTATATATGGGACTTTCAGTATTTAAAAATGATACCATAAGCTCTATATAGCACTGTTTTCAGACCGACTGGGGAAGAATTCTGGAAAAGGGTTTACAATTTGTAAACTGTAATTACAATTACCAATACAATTGAAATAGCTATTTGTACAAATTATATTTTTAATTAGAATACGTAAATGTAAAGTGAATTATAGAGAAACTGCAAGGAAACAGATATGAAGAGACATAAAAGAGAATATATTAACTTAAAAGTTTAGGTCCCTCATTTATAAAGCTCAAATTAGCTCTCTGTTCATTGGCAACAATAATAGAACCTGCTCTATGTACCTGATAGGGCTATATGAGAATCAAACATGATGATATAGAAAGAGCATTGAAAAGTGACAACTAGTATTTTTGTCAGGTTTATTAAACTTCTGTTTTATAAGATAATTTCTTTTCTCCTTTGAAAATGGTAGGTACTAAAAAACATGCCTAGGGTAATGGAAAAGTTAAAATGAAGCTATATAAATAAGACCAACCACAAGTTGGAAACTAGAAAATCTAAAACATTCAGAAATGCACATCAAGTAGACTCAAATGCGGAAGGTAAGTCTGAGAAAGTAAGTGTCCCGGTACTAAAACAAAACCCAAACAACAAAGCAAAAGATACACGATCATTATTTGCTGAGCTGAACTATGCTGTAGATTTGTGCAAAGCCGTATCCGAACAGGCATGTGAATGCCTGACAACCAAAGAGTTGACAAGGATTTCTTACCGTCATCACAAGTGAAGTCCTGAATGGCCACATCCTGGATGGGTATTTCTTTTAGGAAGTATGGTTTTTGACATCGAGGATTTCCCGTAACAATTCTCTTCTTCCTGAGCCACTCTCCCAACCAAGCCAGGTAGCAGTTACAGTTAAAAGGATTGGCCAAGAGGTTTCTAAGAGCCACAGGCAAACAATGCATGGTTTAGTTTGGGGTTTCATCTTCTCAATTCTCAAAACCCCAGCTACCCTTCTCCACACTATTTCCACCGGTAACGATTCCTTCTTTGTGTTCCCAGACCCCCATTCATACTCAGAATCACATGCAGTATATGAGATGCATTTTTTTTGCTAAAATATTTATGCTTGGAACTTAAACAGTAACAACACTTTTTCATAAGGTAATTCTTCACATGATTTCATGCAAAAAATAAGGTAAGGCAGAATTTGGGGCTCACACAGTGGATCCTGATAGATATTTCATTTAAAAATAATTTAAACTTGTCAGAAATCTGACTTGCTGTCAAACTTCGCACTGATAATGCAGTAATTTAATATAAAGATGAAGGCTGATTACCTTATATTATTGAGTTTAACCTGACAACAGCTAATTCATTAATTTGTCATCTCAAGATTTCCATCTCTTATTTGCTCTAGAGAATAGGTTTCCCATCTAAACTGACAGCTGAGTTGATTAAATGACAGTTATAAAAATGAATTTACTTCTACAAATCTCAATACTTTTGGCATCTCACCACTTCAGCATAAACCTATTGACAATCTCATTATTTATAAACATGCCATCTTTAATATGTGCAAATTAGTCACTTGATGTAAAATGTCACATTTTATGCAAAAAGAGGATTAAGTACTTCACTGAAGGATGGATGCTTCTCTCAAATTATTTCTTCACTGACTTGAGCTATGAACTTTTTTTCTCTATCTTTATTCCCCTCCTTTAAAGTTAGATTCGTATATTTGCATGCCACCATTACTGGGAAATCTTATCAGTTAGATAATTAATAATTTCAAATGCTGCTTTTTAGATACTGACATATAAGAGACCTGAAATACATTGTTTGGAGGTGTGTGGCTTTTTTTACTTTTACATTTTATTTATTTACTTTTTTCAAATTTCTTGAATTCTGTCTATAGGCCTAAAAATACTCTTTATTTTTAAGCTGTCTACATAAAATAATCTCTTGGATCAGCTCAACCTATTTCTTCAATATTTTGCTAATATCAGAGTAGACGCCCTCTAGTAAACAGTTTAATTTTTGATCTGGTCATCCTAATATATCTCCTGTCATTTCGAATGATTCTTTGTTTTTTTTTTTAACTTGAGATGGAGTCTCGCTCTGTCACACAGACTGGAGTGCAGTGACGTGATCCTGGATCAATGCCATCTCCGCCTCCCTGGTTCAAGCAATTCTCCTGCCTCACCCTCCCGAGTAGCTGGGACTACAGGCACGTGTCACCACGCCCGGCTAATTTTTTTGTATTTTTAGTAAAGACAGGGATTTGCCATGTTGGCCAGGCTGGTCTCGAACTCCTGACCTCAAGTAATCTGCCCGCCTCAGCCTCCCAAAGTGCTGGAATTACAGACATGAGCCACCGTGCCTGGCTGATCCTTTCGAGCAAGTTTGTTGGCAATAACCCTATCCATTCTCCTTTTATGATACTTATACTGAAAATACTCCAGTGTGAGAACACTGGCAAAAATCTGTAACATTTCTTTTATATGCAGCACTATCAAGTTATAATAATTCTAAAATTTAGAATTAAGCTACATCATTGATAACATCACTAGGAAAAATAATTCACTGAACAATACTATAATTTTTTGTTAAAATTTAATGTAAGATAATAGGTAATATTTTTTAAAAAATTTAAATAAATTTCACATGAACAAGTTTGCACTTTTTAAAGTCCTAAACCCTTGATCACATTTTAATGAAATGCTTAATAATACATTAAATACATTAACAAATATAATAAATGGCTCAAGTAATACATAAAGGCTATTTTTCATACTTACAGAGTAGATAAAGAATGGAGAGTATCAAATGCCCCTGGTGCAACTGTAGTAATTTGATTATCATATAAAGAAAGCAAACGCACAGAGCTGAGTCCTATGAAACTGTCATTCCCCACACAGGTTATTCGATTGCTTCTCAACATCCTGAGGGGAAAAAAGGGACATTGTTATGGAGACAAAGAGTCAAGCAATCAATTTTGCCTATCTGAGGATCAAAAGGATCCTTGCAAATATGTAGCACTCATTACTACTTTTTAAAAATGTTCTCTTGCTATTATATATTGCTGTGAATATATACTGGGAATATCTTGCAAGAATAAAGTGCTTTGAGTTGTCAATGATTAATCTCAGTTACAAAAGGCACGGTGAGTCTAGGCATGGATTTACAATCCCACGATGACGGCAGAATGTTTACCTTTGATGCTACAATTATGTTTGCATGACTGCATAATGTCCTAATTCACCTACAGCTCTCTGAGTCCTTGGAGCCCTGTGATTTGTGTATTCAGGGTAGTAGTACATTTGAGGTTGAACAGAAGGGAGGTGGAAAATAATCAATAGCCATTGCAGATGAAGAACTGAGGGCATCTCAGGGACTTACATACTGAGTCAATGCCAAACATGGGCTGGGGGAGCCAAAATGGACAGAATATCTACAAAGACTACACGAATAATTTTATTTATGAAAATTAGCTCATTGTTTTAAGTTGAGAACTTAAAAAGAGGCAATGGTCACAGATCCCATATCCACAATAAAGTTTAAAAAAGTTTACCATGAAAAAATACTTTTTTTTTTTAAGTCACTGTCATTAATAGGGTTAACACTATTGTCATTTCCTTGTTACTGCTAAAGTTTTGGCTCAATTATCAATTATTTGCTAATTATTTGTCTGGCTTAAAAACTGAACAAAAAGCTCAAAGTCCCCTGTGAAAATAGTTATGAGTATATGAATAGTTGCCATAAATCATATTCAGAATTCCTGAAAAATTAAATTATTCCTTAACTTTTCTAAACATAAGTTGGCTACTAAAAAAATTGAAGAATGTAAAAAAGAGAGTAAAAATAAAGAAACAAAGTGTCCCTTTAAAATTCTAGATTGTCCCATAATAAATAAGAAATGTAAATGTTTGCATTCTGCCAAGTCACAGATAAGAAGAAAAGATGATGCTCTCCTTATAAAGGCATCGTTTTATTTTAGAAAACAAATGCACAACAGAAAAGCATTCCTATCAGCGCTTTCCTTTGTCATAAATGATGAAGAGCACTGGGTCTTAATCTTGCTGGAGTCACATGCCCCTGGGAGAAGTTGAAGAAAAGTTTGAGGGCCAGGTGCGGTGGCTGCTGCCTGTAATCCCAGCACTTAGGGAGGCCGAGGTGGGCGGATCACAAGGTCAGGAGATTGAGGCCATCCTGGCTAACACAGTGAAACCTCCTCTCTACTAAAAATCCAAAAAATTAGCCTGGTGTGGTGATGGGTGCCTGTAGTCCCAGCTACTCGGGAGGCTGAGGCAGGAGAATGGTGTGAACCCAGGAGGCAGAGCTTGCGGTGAGCCAAGACCGTACCACAGCACTCAAGCCTGGACGACAGAGTGAGCCTCCATCTCAAAAAAATAAAATAAAATTAAATTAAATTAAAAAAAGAGAAAAGTTTGATCTCTGTTGCTAGAAAAATCCATAAGCACACATATGCACACATTTCACGTGTAATATCAAGGAATTCAATGACTGGCTGAAATATGTGTATGAACTAATAAGTGGCCTATTAGGGTTAAGAAGCCTAGGGGAATGGAAATGTGCTCTCAAAATCTTCATAGCTCCAAGACAAAAGATACCAAGAATAGGTATATTCAGATAAAACTATTCTAGGATTTTGACTACCCTGAGTTTGGTTCTAAACTGCTCTATGATGCTTGTTGGAATATAACTAGATTAAGGAGAGAGTCAGTTAACATCTGTCTCAGGTGCTGAAAAGTAAGCACTTCAAAAACATCCATAGAAATATAATGAAGGGAGAAAGTGGAATTTAGATAACTTTTCACAGGCAGAGTCCTGTGAATGAACAACAAAACAATAAGAAATACTTTGAAAAGTTCCTTGAGGTGGTGTTACAGATAGAACTGTATCCCCCTCAGATTTGTATTTCGAAGCCCTAAACCCCAAATGTGACTGTACAGTCATGCGCCACATTACAATATTTTGGTCAAGCAGAGCTATACAAAAGTGGTCCAATAAGATTGCAAGGGAGCTGAAAATTTCCTATTGCCTCGAGATGTCATGACCATCATAAATGTCACAGCCCAATACATTACTCATATGTTCGTGGTGATACTGGGGTAAATAAACCTACTGTGCTGCCAGTTGTATAAAATTATAGCACAACACTTACGTACAGCACATAATACTCCATAATGAAAATAAGCAACTGTATGATTGGTTTATGTATATACTATACTATTAATTGTGATTTTAGAGTGTACTTCTACTTATTAACAAAAAGTTAACTATAAAACAGCCTCAGGCAGGTCCTTTCGGAGAAGGCATTGTTATCCTAGGAGATGACATGTTATCCTTGCATGTTATTGCCCCTGAAGGCCTTCCAGTGCGACAAGGTGTGGAGGGAGAGGATAGTAATATTGATACATTGATTATCCTGACCCTGGGCAGGCCTAGGCTAATGTATGTGTTTCTTAGTTTTTAACAAAATAGTTTAAAAATGCAAAAGTAAGTAAATGAAACAATTTAAAAAATAGAAAAGAATAAGGAAAAGAATAGAGAATAAAAAATTCTTATGTAAGAATTAAAAAATTTGTACAGGCCGGGCGCAGTGGCTCAAGCCTGTAATCCCAGCACTTTGGGAGGCCGAGATGGGCGAATCACGAGGTCAGGAGATCGAGACCATCCTGGCTAACACGGTGAAACCCCGTTTCTACTAAAAAATACAGAAAAACTAGCCGGGCGAGGTGGTGGGCGCCTGTAGTCCCAGGTACTCGGGAGGCTGAGGCAGGAGAATGGCGTAAACCCGGGAGGCGGAGCTTGCAGTGAGCTGAGATCCGGCCACTGCGCTCCAGCCTGGACGACAGAGCCAGACGCCGTCTCAAAAAAAAAAAAAAATTTGTACAGCTGAACAATGTTTGTGTTTAAGCTAAGTGTTATTACAAAAGAGTAAAAAAAGTTAAAATATTAAAAAGTTCATAAAGTAAAAAAGTTATGGTAATTTAACTTTAATTTATTACTGAAGAAATACATTAAAAAATAAATTTAGTGAAGCCTAAGTGTACAGTTGTACAGTGTTTTTTTTTTTTTTTTTTTTTGTGACGGAGTTTCTCTTGTCACCCAGGCTGGAGTGCAGTGGTGCAACCTCTGCTCACTGCAACCTCCGCCTCCTGGGTTCAAGCAATTCTTCTGCCCAGCTAATTTTTGTATTTTTTAGTAAAGATGGGGTTTCACCATGTTGGTCAGGCTGGTTCTGAACTCCTGACCTCAGGTAATCTACCCGCCTCCCAAAGGGCTGGGATTACAGGTGTGAGCCACCGCTCCAGGCCGTGTACAGTGTTTATAAAGCCTATGTTCGTGTACAGTAATGTCCTACGCCCTCACAGTCACTCACCACCCACTCACTCACTCACCCAGAGAAACTTCCAGTTCTGTAAGCACCATTCTTGTTAAGTGCCCTATACAGGCGTAGTATTTTAAATATTTTGCACCATATTTTTTACTGTACTTTTCTGTTTAGGTATGTTTAGATACACAAATACTTTCCATTGTGTTAGTAACAATTGCCTGCAGTATTCAGTAGAGTAAAATGCTGCGCAGGTGTGTAGCCCAGGAGTAACAGGCTGTGCCACATAGCCTAGGTGTGTGGTAGGCCATACCATCTATGTTTGTGTAAGTCCACTCTAGGATGTTCACACAACGGCAACATTGCCTAATGACACATTTATCAGAACATATGTATGACTATATTTGGAAAGAGGGACTTCAGGGAGGTGATTAAGGCTGAGTGAGATTGTAAGAGTGGGGTCCCATACTGATGGACTTCCATCCTTACAAGAAGAAAATGATGATACCAGGCAGCTCACTATCTCTTCCTATGAGCAGACAGAAGAAAACTCATTTGAAGAAACAGTGAGAAGGTGACCGTCTACAAGCCCAGAAGCGAGGTCTCATCAGAAACTCACCCTGTCAGCACCTCCATCTTGAACTTCTAGCCTCCAGAATGATGAGAAAATCAATTTCTGTTGTGTAAGCTACTCAGCCTGTGGAAGCTCATTATGGCAGCCTGAACAGATGTGTACAGGGGTAGTTACAGCCTACTGCCTTCCTCCCACTCCAAGGTACTTCTCTGCCAGGAGAAGATTCCAGTATCAAGAAACAGTCCTTTAACTGCTGTTTGAAAAGGGAGCCTTCTGCTTGTTGCAATATTTGTATTTTACCTGAGACAACTCTGGAAAAGGTTAAATGCAGCCACCTGTGGTCTCTTTTCTATCCTCTTCCTACACATTCCTCAGTATATCTCTCTATATATATATTTTTTTAGACAGAATCTCATTACATCACCCACGCTGGAGTGCAGTGGCACAATCTCGTCTCACTGCAACCTCCACCTCCCCGGTTCAAGTGATTCCTCTGCCTCAGCCTCCCAAGTAGCTGGGACTACAGGCATGTACCACCACACCTGGCTAATTTTCATATTTTTAGTAACGACCAGGTCTCATCATATTGGCCAGGCTGGTCTCGAACTCCTGACCTCGTGATCTGCCCACCTCGGCCTCCCAAAGTGCTGGGATTACAGGCATGAGCCACCGCGCCTGGCCCTCAGTATCTCTTTCATCACAAGGCTGAGTGAACGTTTGCCTATCATTTTGAAAGGGCACCAAGTTAGCCCTTGGGCTGGGTCAGCAGGTCCCAGACTGGTCCTGCTGGGTGGTCAGGTTTCAGGCTATCCCAGCAAAACTCAAGGAACGCACTTCTGCTCTTAGGTGCAGGGAGGGCTTTGGGGGTGGGATTTGAATTTGGGATTCTATAGACACATCTCACTGGCTGTGGGAATGCCCTTCTCCCTCTGTATCTGATGAAGAGCAGACAATGGACTCAGCCATCAGCCCACTGGGCGTACATGGCTCTCATAGGTTGCGCGGGACAGGGTCGTGGGTTTAGGCGAGACAGACTCCCCACCACAGTCAACAAGGACTGCTTCCTGGTTACGAATATTTTCCTTTCTGCCTTCTAAAGCTTTCAGAGTTTGGTTTGTCTCTCTTCCAATTTTCAGGCTACCACTTTTGTCAAACATAATTATATACTTCATAGACACAATATATATGTGTGTATATGTCTGTGTATATGCAGCGTGAAAAATTCAAGTAATACAAAATTGTTGTAAGCACTTTTGATTGAAATATCTCAATCTAATCCCCATATTTCCTGGACAACAACCCTTTGGAAACATATATAATTTTTCCCCCAAACTCCCTACCCCTGACCAAGTAGACATAACTCTTAGCATGTTTTCTTTGAAAAAATAGTGAAAGATGTATCACCAGCCTGTCTTTCTTTGACCTTGCAGGGGCAAAAAAACAAAAACAAAACAGTAGTCTCCAGATAAGCTGTTAGAATTATTCTACTGCAGAGATTCGAGGAGATTCTAAAGCTTACAGTAATTGGGCCAAGAGGAAGTAGAGTATAGAGAAGTGTTTGACGACAAGGAAATAAAATGACCATTTTGAGGCAGGACAAGGTAGTCAGATCCATATAAGCACTGAAGCAAGGATCATCTATTTTGTAGAGGAGACAGCAGCCATGAGGAATGCCCCTGATCATCTGCTATCAACACATTGACGGCAGGAATATTGGGGTAAGGGACCATTTGTATTCACAATACGTGTGTGTGTGTGTGTGTGTGTGTGTAACACACATCAAAGGCAGGGATATTGGGGTAAGGGACCTTTTGCATTCACAATGTGTGTGTGTGTGTGTGTGTGTGTGTGTGAGACACACATCAAAGGCAGGGATATTGGGGTAATGGACCATTTGCATTCACAATATGTGAGAGTGTGTGTGTGTAACACACATCGAAGGTAGGAATATTGGGGTAAGGGACCATTTGCATTCACAATATGTGTTGTGTGTGTGTGTGTGTGCGCGCGCATAACAGAGAGAATGTGAAAGAGATAGAGGGAGTGGGGTGGGTAAAAGTAGGAGGTGTTTCTCTCTCCCAGAATTATAATGAACAATGAGCTGCAATCCTTTGGGAAGAACTGCAATGCAAGTACAAATACTTACAAAGTTTTGAGGCTTTCCAATCCCTTGAACATCTTATGCTGCACATTTTCCAAACGATTACTTGTGAGAAGTATTTCATTTACACCAGATGCTCCTTCAAATGCTCCCTCCTCAATATCTGTGATCTTATTGTTGCTAAAGTTTCTAAATAGAAATTGTTGAAACAAAGATTTTAAACAATTTCTAATAAGGAGGGAATTGAAATATAGTTGATCATTTTCTTCTAATGATCCAAGTCTTCCAACTTTTCACTGCCCAGCACTGCCAGGGCTCTGAAAAGATTCCACTTCCCTACACCATCAAGACAAAGGGACAATAATCATAAGAGGGACTGTCTATGGTAAAAAATGCCAGCGTGACTCATGTCAAACTCTCCAAAGGTCCCCAGGAGTATAAAATTCTTGAGGTCAGGTACTGGGTTACACAAACCTTTATGCCATCTATAAAATCCAACAAGAAACTTTTCAAAAAAATATCCCTGATTAAAATTGTCAAATGAATTAATGACTAAAAGAAGACAACTGGGTAGAGATAGAAGGGCTAAAATTTGTTAGTGTTTTATATATATAGCATCAGAAATGTATTTGAATATAGGTTTATTCCCAGAAGAACTTCTCATGTAATAATGTGTTGAAACAACCAAATTAATTGTCAGTATTATGTATGATACCAACTACTACAATGCTTGCCTGAAGGCAAGAGTATCTAGTTGAGGTTAACTTTCTATAGACTTTTTCTTTCTCTTTCTCACTGATCGATCACTCCAAGACCAGGAGTGTCCCCCAAACAAGGATCATTTTTATGCATATTTTAATTTCTCTGAGAGAATTGTACACAGTAGCTTCTTAAAAAATATTTGTTGCATGGAAAATCATCTTATAGCTAAAAAGAAAGTGCATTTCATAACACTGAAAAAGGAGGGCAATTAAGATATCAGAAACCATTTGCGAGGTAGCCTAATATGGATGCCAACTGTACAAGTAGTCTGTTCTGTAACTTACAGTCTATGTGACTATGGGCCAGTTACATATGTGGATACACAGCTAAAGTGAGTCGATGCTTTTTTCCTCCTGCTGATGTTTCTGCATGTGTGAGGGTGCTCCACTGGTCCCATGCTATTGACGTATGTCCTGTCTCTCCCTCACACCTCCCCAGGGGCATGGAGTAACCCACTGAGTGCTGCTGAAACTGCTGAGCTTATGAACTTATTTTAAAATATGAGTTGTGGACACGTAGTAACACAGATGAGCTATTGAACCAGTTTACCAATCATTAATTTTGAATATCTTCTAATGAAAGTTTAATGAAGCAAAAAAGTCCAATAGTTGACATGAAAAAGAAACAACAGCATGGTTTGGGGAATAGTAAAGGAAGTTACAAAACCTTACTGAACCCATTTTAATGTGCTTAGATTGCTGGATTCCTGCTGTGGCCACATAACAGACCAGCTGTCTGAGTTAAAGTCAGATGCTTAGGCTCTGCCACAGAAAATGTGATTGACACTGTTGAGCACACAGAAAAGTTCTTGCAGAGATTACCCTGAATTCATGTCACAGGTCGCCATCATAGGGAAATTTCCCAGGATTTTTAATATTTTCTAATTTTCTAAGAAACTTAACTTAAGAAAATGAACACAACAAAATGCTACGGAAATTAAAAAAAAAAAAAAAAGCTAACAAGCGACTTACATTTTACGTAATTGAGGAAGTTTCTTAAAGATTCCTGTGGCTTCCAACACGGTAAATTCATTATTATTGAGACGCCTGAAGAAAAAGGAAGGAAGAGAGAAGTTTTATTACTAATAGTTAGGAAAGCATTAAATTTGATTTCTCAAAATGAATTCTAACATTATTGAATGACACCAGGAAAATTAAAGGAAATACATATATCACAGAAGATTTGTGGAACATACTGATGTTTTTTTCTCATTTTATTCAAATTTTAATCAAAATAAAATGTTAGGAAGTTTTTTTTTTACACAGTAAAAAAAGAAAAAAATCAAAGATCAAAACCAGCTCTCAGCAATCTCTAGAACAAATTTTCTCCAATTTTTTCCACTATCGTCCCCACTAAAAAGGATTTTTAGACTGTTTTTTCCCTAATTGTTTTCTTCACAATTGGAACAAAAATTACAGCTTTGTTAGAATGTGATTCACATGCTAGAACATTTACCCTTTTAAAGTGTACAATTCAGTGGTTTTTAGTATATTCACAATATTGTGCAACCATCTCTGCTATCTAATTCCAGCACATCTTCATTACCCCCAGAAAGAAACCCCATACTTCTTACCAGTCACTCCCGGTGGCTATTCCCCTACAGTCCTTGGCAACCACCAGGTTACTTTTTGTTTTTATTAATTTTCCTATTCTGGGCATTTTGTATAAATGGAATCACGTAAGATGTAGCCTTTTCTGTCTGGCTTCTTTTGCTTTATATAATGTCTTGTTCCTGTTGTAGCATACGGCAGTGCTTCATTATTTTTTAAGACTCAATGATATTTCATTACACAGGCGTGACACATTTGTTTATCCATTTATCAGTTAGGAGGCATTTGTGTTGCCTCCATTCTTTGACAGCTATAAATAATGCTGCTATGAACATGGTGTGCACGTTTCTGCCTGGATATATGTTGTCATTTTTTCGACATATACATAGGAGTGGCATTGCTGGATCACATGGTAAATCTGTGATTAACTCTTTGAGAAATAGCAAAAAAGATTTCCATAGAAGCTTTACATTCAGACCAGCGATGTATAAAGGTTTCAATTTCTTCTACTATGTTGCTCTCTCTTTTTTTTTTTAAGCCATTCCAGTGGGTCTAAAATGGTATCTCATTGTGGTTTTGATTGGAATTTCCCTATAACTAATGATATTGAGCAGTTTTTCATGTGTTTATTGGACATGTGTTTATATGTTCTTTGGAGAAAGGTCAATATGAATAATTTAACCATTCATTAGCTGAGTAAAATATCTTTTAATCTAAATTATAAGAGTTCTTCATATATTGTGAATGTGTCTTATTAGACACATGATTTGCAAATATTTTCTTCTCAGTACTGATTTTATTGTATAATTTAAAAAATTATAAATCTCTTACATTACATACATTTGCTGAAGTCTACATTGGAGGCTAGTTTCCACTATAATTCTTCCATGACAAACAGACTTATTTAAAGTGCTAGTCCAGGGGCAGTATCTCATGCCTATAACCCTGGCACTTTGGGAGGCAGAGGCAGGAGGATTGCTTGTGCTCAGGAGTTCAAGACCAGCCTGGGCAATAGGGCAACATCCCATCTCTACAAAAAATACAAAAATTAGCTGGGTGTGGTGGTGCATGCCTGAGGTCCCAGCTTCTTGAGGGGATGGGGAAGGGGGACTGAGGTGGGAGGATCCCTTGCACCCAGGAGACCAAGTCTACAGGGAGCTGTGATGATGACACTGCACTCCTGCCTCCTGCCTGGGCAAGAGACTGAGACTCTCTCTCAAAAAAAAAAAAAAAAAAAAAAAAAAAAAAAAAAAAAAAAAAAAAAAGGTGCTATTGTGCTGGAAGATATCACTTGTTTATAGTATTATAGGTAACAAGCATAAATCCCTATATAACTGTAAAAAATAAAGTTCAGGGCCTTGGTTGCATGGTCCCCATGCATTTCTAAAATTCCTGGAGCTGTGAAATAGCTTCATTAACTAACAGGAGTACAAAAAAAAAATCACTATAACTACAAGATAGTTGGTTTCTGTCAAGTCTTTGAAAGGCATTACTTTATTTTTAGTTATTCAAATTGCTAAAAATTAATTAAGTACTGGCATGAGTACAGGCACAGTGGGAGATAAACAATAACACACAATCCCTGTCATCAAGGAGCTATAATCTAGTTAAAGACAGAAGGATTATATACAAACAAACAGACAACGAACTTTGCAAAGCAGTAAATGACAAATACCAGATGTTGTTATCCATAAACATGGCTAAGATGTTGAGAGAATGATGAGGTTTTTTTTGTTGAATTGTTAGAACACTAACATTAAAGGTCGTCTTTTTATAAATAAAGTCAGTAAAGGCAAACCATGCATGCGTGTAGAATCTGTGAGTGCTCCAACCAACATTCTAGTACTTAGTATGTGCAAGGTCCTGTGTTAAGGATGTTAAGTGTAAATGCCATCATATTCTGCCTTTTCAGCTTTTCTTCCATTGTTCAGAAAAAGCTACCCTTTCTACTTTAATACCTGATGATCACTGAATCCTTCCACCCATAAGTCAATGAAGTAGTAAATTAGGTAAGATGGACTCCTTGAATCTTTCGTTTACAGAAATTGAAAACTGAGGCTCTCAAACTACTTTATTTAGTTGCTATAAGGATTAAATACGTTAAAAAACTAAGTACATAGAAAATAGTTTGGGAATAAATAATACCCAATAAATAAGCATCAAATAAACACCATTGGTATTAGTATGAAGTGCTTACTGAATTTTGAGAGATAAATTAGTTCTGTACTCAATCGTATGGTTGGCTAGAAAGATGGAAAGGTAGCCTCTAACATATTCTTGTACTAAGAAGAGTTAATGCCAATGTAATGCGTATTAATTAAAATTAACACAAATATTAATAATAAAAATGGCAAGACAAACATTCCTATGCTTTAATGCTTTCATTCCCGCCTTCCCAACCAGAATTTTGTTGGCGGATGAACTTACAACTCTGCAGTGTACTGGGGAATGTGCTCTGGGATTTTGTTGAGTTTTTGATTAGAGCAATCTACTGTGGTTCCTTCACAGCGACACTTTTCAGGGCAAGCCAAATCCGCAAAGCAGTCTCCACTTAATTTTGATCGATAATCTTCTGTACCTATTGAGAATTCAAACCAAAAAAAAGATACTGAGTCTAAAGGTTAGAATATTTATTAGTTTGTAGGAAGAAAAAAGTAAGATAACTATAGATTATGTAGCAGGGAGACAACTTGGGGTATTTTGGTCAATGGATGTCAGGAGAAAGGTTAAAAGAAAGGCTTGGAATTTTCTGGAAAAAAGAGTGACCAGATTCACATGACAGGAAAACATTAATAAAGTTGAGCTTTTCACAGCTGTACTTTCTGCTGATCCAATTCTGAGCCATTCTAGCCTATTTCACAGCTAGTCACACAATGGATATTAATTATTAAAAAGTTTATTTTTTTTCTCTGAGTCAAGAATTGAAAATATATCCAGTAATAAACATGATCCTATATATCATTGTAAATTAGGGCTTTCAAGGCAAATAGATAGACTCAGGCTTTTAAATTTTCTATGGACTTTTTACTATTCTCTCCCTCTCACATAATCTCAGAGATGCCTAAAAAGCCCTCTTTTTTTTCATTTTGATTTTGTAGAAAGAGACAGGTAAATCCTGATTTAAGCCTCAGCAGCTTGCCATGCTGTAGAAAGCTGCGTGACGTTCCATGGTGCTTGACGGAACCATGTTTTACTCATACCTCGCAACCACATGGTTAGATCAAGCACAACAGAAAATCTCGCTACATTGTCACTACACCAACCACTAGGCCAAAGGTAAGACCAAGAGGAAAATGGAGGGAAGGAGGAGAAAAGCTACAGGCGTTCTGGAAATGTAATACTGTTCACATGACATGCATCCTTCCCGCAGAATGTTTATGACCATAGTAAGAGTATTACTACCGAAGATTTCCTGGAAACACAAAGAAGGGGCTATACGGAAAAGGTGCCTCCACCGTTCCTCAGAACTGCAGAATGGAAACAACAGCTTTCAGGAACAACATCCAGGAAGAAGTTGAAGGTGAGCTACAAGGACAACAGAGAAGCTCAAAGGATCTGCGGTTTCTTCTTGAAAAAAAGGTGCCAAAGACCAAGACTAGAAGAAGGTACATCAGGATTGAAAAGGGAGGGTACTATGTTTCAGATCAGACACTTTTACTTACAGCCAAAATGGTGAATTCCTGCAAAAGTAAAGATCACCAAGAAGGAAAGAAAGAGTAATCCCAATTAAGATTAATATACATATTTATAAAAGTAAGCTCTCTTCCTTCTTTATTATGGTAATTATTGAAAAAATAGCATGATGTGATGGGAATTGTCATGCTTTGTAAAATTTTATAAATAATATTTTGAAGCATGGTGGTCTCATAAGAAAACCAATGTAATAAAAGATGCATAGTGCAAATTAAGTTCTCGATTCCTTTAAAAGATGAACTCTCTGCAAGACAGATTTTCTTTTATCACTGTAATATGTAGAGTGACATATAAAATGGTAGTAGGGAGGTCCACATGTAAAAGTGAATGAAAAACTAATCATGGAGATCCTCAAGGACAATCATTAGAACATTTGGCTTAATCCTTATGTTGTGATGTGCACTTTTTAATGAACTTTTCAACTTATAAATAATGCTTCTTAGTGGAAATGGAATCAGAATCTCATAAGAAGTTTGCGATGGTGAATATAACGGTTTCATTACATTTGGCAGTTAATGCCACCGTATTTATTGAGGATCTGGTGCCTTATGATTTAAGCTTCACTCCAAAATGAAGTAAGAGTGCACAAAGTCTAAATGACAGGTACACTGGATATCTTGCAATTCAAATAGTCTGCATTCAATGGAACAGTAATAATGCTTATTTTATGGTGGCTTTTTAGGTGGACTCAAATTTTAATTAAAATTTTTGGAAAAAAGGGAAGGAGGCCCAAATGATCCTTTTGAGGCCTGGCTTCTACAATTATTATGTTTAAATAATGTAAATTAAATGATCAAAACTTGAAAGTTAAGACATGATATTTGATATAAAAGATAATTTCCAAATCCTAATTTGGCTGCTGTCAGTAACAGGGAAAAACTGTATCAGAATATATGAAAACAACCTCACTTTTGTTCTTTATTTAGTGAATTGGAAATATTAAACTTATCAATTATTAATTAAGTGTATTTAAATGAAATAGTTTAAATAATTTGGTACCAATTACATTACTGCCATAATTTTAGGATTTAAATCATATTAATGTTTTATTCAATAGGTCATCTGGTGTTTAGAATATGGCTTTTTCTGGTTAAATAATAGCTATCAGATTATTTTCCACTTAATTGGGTAAAGTAATTAATATTAAACATTGTCAATGAAGGCCAATCAACTGTTCTTTTCAACATGTTACTTGTTATGCAGCCAGTATAATACATACAATGCTACTGATCAGTCAAGCTCAAAATAAGTCATATAACCAAATCTACTAAATCCATAAAAGTATCCAATTGTAATTCAATAATGGCAAGCAACAAATATCTCCTTAAAATAGAGACTAAACCCAGAGTTCTTCTTTAGAAAATATGGAAAAGTAGACTAACACTGTACACTAACGCTGTAGAAATATCTTTTCATCTGTAGCTCTTAAAATATTTTATAGTCAAGAATATACCCAAGAGATGGTGAATGTGGCCAATCAATACTTAACATAATGGTTTAAAACAAACAAGTCAAGAGGCATTTTACACAATTGGCAGGCAAGAAAAAATAAGTAAAGAAACGTATTTTAAAGAGCTAGTTCTAGAATCATCAGTCTTGATAGTGTTAAGATTGAAGTGGTAAAACATTGAGATTACTTTTCTTAGACACATTCTATCCATCTGCCTAAATTATTCAAGGCATTTTGAGACCATGAACTTCTGATGCTTTCACATCAGACATCAATGTTCTTTTTACGGACTTATATTGTAATTCTGGATATAGAAGAATGTAAAGTCATAAACAAATAAGAAACAACTGCATATAAATCAGCAGGAAGCTGCTGTTTTTCTACAAACAGTGAAGCAGAAGTAAAGCAATAAGAACAGTTTTTAAATATAAGAATCTATAAAAAAGTAAGTCTCATGGTGGAAAATGAAATTCTGTGTGTCTGTAACTGATTTCATGTAGAACGAGCTCTTTGACATTGGAAAGATCTCTGTCTTTAAAACCAGCTCAATTAGCTATATTTTAAAAACAGGTTGGAAGATCAGATATACAATGTATGGAGAGAAAATGATTTAAGTAGAAAGCCATAGCTTCAAACATTTTAGCTACTGTGAGAAATTTTAGATAATGCGCCAAAGTAAAAGAGAGAGAAGAAAAGGTGGAGTTTAATAATATATATGTTTAACATCAGAAGCTGCATGCAAAGGTCAGGTTTTCAGGAAACAGCTACAAGTGATATATGCATCAGTCAATCTATCTATAGAGTATCCACTGTACTTTCAGAAGCATGCATATCAGTCTTAGAAGCTATATTTTATAAGGTGAGGAAAGGGTGTCTGTAGTTAGTCCTACTACCGAGCAAAACCTACCTGGAATGAAATACTGTTCTTTAGCTAAATAAAAAAAGAGAAAAAAAAAATAGAAGATGCACCTGAATGTCAGCAAGCAGAGATATGAGTTATATTAGATTAAGAATGGACTAAAGTTACTACAATTAAGTGAAAAATGTATATTCACAGCTGTGACTGACATATAATAATGTACAGTGAGTAGTAAATGCATCTATAATTATGGACAATAACCAGCTTGGTCCTTATATTAGCTTTTTAGTATGAAATTAACTGCCGAATGTGAAATACCCCTGGAAGAGTTAGGTAGCATACTACCAAACAGACATATAATGTATTCTATTAAAAAAAAGGGAAAATATTATATCAAAGCAAACAGTAAATTTGAATGATGGAAACCTTCCATTTAATATCAATACAATGTATTCATATTTAGCTTTTTACAAATAAATGCAATATTCCCAAAATATTTTTAAAAAATAGCTTTTGGAAAAAATGCATCCTCACAGTTGTATGCAAAATAAGAGAATGCAAACTGAGGAAGAGCATTCAGAGTAAGAAGCAAGGGATCTGTAGTCCCTCCTGGTGTCCCTGGACTTCTGAGCCCAAACAAATCATGTAACCAAGTCTCAATTCACTTTCTGAAGAAACGAAAATACAGTTAATTACTTGAGGTTGGTCAAGACAACAAACATGAGACTTAACATACTTCAAAGGTATTCTCAGTTAGCTAAAAGGCTCTTGTTAAATTTGAATTTTGGAAAGGTACTATGAGGTATCTAGGCTTCTTTGTAACTTGGTCAATAGCCTACTTCTTCTGCTCTCCTAGTGTTAAAATGTTACACATAGAAGAAGTATTATTTGAACTGTGTCTACAGTTCTCTTTATTTTGCTATTCATGGGCAGAAGAAAAAGAAATATGGTTCTACAGTGTTCACTAATCAGCCAAAGGCCAGCTGCTTTTGTTAGGTCTCATGTAACCATTGTTGTTGGTCACAGGGGAAATTAACACGTGAAGAAATTACCTGAGCAACGGAATTTCTTGCTTTTGATCTGTCCAATTCTTTTGTTTGCCAGGCGGCGGGGGCTGGTGCAACGGGCACCACTGGTCTCAATTGGGTTGGTATGGAGATAATCCGCTAGCCACTTAAGATGGCAGTCACAAATAAATGGGTTCTGGGCCAAATGCCTTTGGAAACACATACAGAACAGTTTTATAGATGACTTGCAAGGGATTCAACTCTTACTTTCAGAGTGGAAACAATGTCATCAAATGTGATCCAAATCACTTATACATACATAGTTTGAATGGCCCGAAGAGGTGAAAAGGTCCCCTTGGCGATGGTCTGAAGCTTGTTGTCATATAGGGAGAGAAGGTTCAAGTTGTGGAGATCCTGAAAAGCATCTACCCGAAGGCAGTTTATCTTGTTGGCATTCAATAATCTGTTTGATTAAATAGTTGTAGAATTAAAGTGTAGCATCTCACTAACTCACCTGCAAGATTTTGTGCTTTTTAAGAGAATCTAGCCCTGAAATATATTTCTTTAACCTCAACACTAACATTTTAACTTTAATAATTTAGGAATTAGAGGTTGGAGATGTGGGGTTTTACCATATAAAGCAAAAGTCATGTGATCAAATGAACCTAAATCTAGGGGTACTTATACATGTATTCACTACAAATTATTAATCATTTCCTCTGGAAGATGTAAGGGTGGAATAGTACACAAAGATGGGTGAGACCCAGCCTCCACTGGCAAGGACACCATAAAAATGTCCTAAGACACTATTAATCCCTCAAGACACTCTGTGGAAAAGTAGTTCAGGCTATTCTCAAAACAGTCACTAGTGGGATCCTTCTAAACATAGAAGAGATCATGTCACCCCTATCTCAGAACCACGTGACAGCTCCCAATTGGCTCTGAGCAGAAGCCTAAGTTGTCACAACAGCCTGACCAGTAGTCCACTCTTCAGAACTCTGCAATCTTCCCAGTTCTCTCCTCCTGGCTGTTTCAGCTCCAATCACTAATCTCCTTGCTCTTTTTTAAACACATCAGGCTCTGCTATTCTCTGTCTGAAATGTTCATCTCCCAGATGTCAAGTCTGCTCTAATATTGCCTTCTCAATCTGGCCTCCCGGACCCCTCTCCTTAATACATGCAGGCTGTCTTTGACCCCTTCCCAAACCCTAGCACTCTCAATTCCTTTTACTTTGATCTACTTTTTCTATTTTCTAAAGTATATATATATTTTTCTGCTATACACAACTTATTATGTTACTGCTGACTGTCATCTATATGCCTCCCTACCCCACAGTAAATCATCCATATGTCTCTTTCATTTCCCCTCCTTTCCCAGCTGCCCAGCACATACTGGGAGCTCAATAAATATTGGTTGTTGAGTGAATACTTTACAACCCTCTTGGAGAGTCACATGATACATTAGTATAGGCTGTAGTCTTATATTATAAATACCTGTTTAACTTTTTAACACAATTCCCCACAAACTCCCTTTTTCCCCCTATACACTATATCAATATTCTGTGGAACTGTGGTTTATGGATTATACTTTGGCAAACATCATTCTTGTGGATGTGACTGTGTGTGAGCTTAGGTTTATTCTTCAGCATGTACTCTGCTCTCTACTTTCCTCAACCACCTTCTGAACTCAACTTCCATCCAACAAAGTACTCCTCCCTCTGGGTTCCTCAGAATGTCAATCCATGCTATGCAGTCTTGTCACCTGTTTTATGCAGACCTGCTTATTTGGCCAATGACAGTTTCTCCCTCTTCAGGAAGGACAATTTTAAAAAATAATAATCTTTTTCTCCATCCCCAACAGGCACCACTGTTCTCAATAGGGTTGGTATGGAGATAATCTGCTGGCCACTTGAGATAGCAGTCACAAATAAAGGGGTTCTGGGCCAAATGCCTTTGGAAACACATACAGTACAGTTTTATAGATGACTTGCAATGGACTCAACTCTTGCATTCACAGTGGAAACAATGTCATCAAATGTGATCCAAATAACTTACACATACATAGTGTGAATGGCCCGGAGAGGTGAAAAGATCCCATTGGCGATGGTCTGAAGCATGTTATTATATAAGGAGAGAAAGAATATTTTTCTCCATGGGGATGGAGAAAATTTTTTAAAATTCTTGCCTTTTAAGAGGGAGAAACTGTAGACAATACTGGATACAGCATCAAGCTATATCTAGCTATATTTAGTTCACTGCTTTGACACTTAGAACTTTTAACAAATATGTAACAGCCCAAAAAATATGTGTCATGTGGTTTGGCTATGCCTCATTATCTAACATACTAAAAATATTTTCTCCTTTGACAATAAAACGATCTCTATGTTAACATGGGGTATTTCCGTTTCACTTGATTTTTTTAAAGGTGCTACATCAGCAACATGCAAAGTGATGACTTTCTCACGGTGATTCAATTGGCTGTGCTCTTTGATTCCCCGTCAGGAGCTGAAGTTTTCATCTTCCCTCTGGTATATGTAATACTTTCTTAAAAGCCTTCAAGAAATGGTGGGTGACAGGGGCTGCTTAACTCCATACCTCTCCTCCCTGGGAGGAGAGTAATGCTGACCTGTTCTTTAATTAATAATCTAATTGAATAAAGCAGTTAGAGAGCAAACAAGGACAATGAAATTGTGTGGAGCCTGAAGAAACTGAAAGATGTCGTGTTGCATCATCTTGCATCTATGCAGTTTGTACTCACTTTAACTCAGTGTGGCCCAAGGAATAGTAAATAAATATTAAGCAACAATCTGTTTTGTTTCTTTTATTTCCCTGACTCTTCTCTCTAATATCTGACCAACCAAAACTGAGACACTTAACTTTACCGGGTTCTCAGTCAGCTGTAAAGAGATAATCATGTCATTCTTTCCCTCTGGCAGGCTTAAGAATGAGCCTTAGTGTAGAAATGAAACTTTATAAAGATGGCTTTAGAAGTAAGGTTTATCTGTATAGATCTCCATATTTTATTAGCATGTGTGTTACATCAGCCACCAATAAGTGTGCATGGAAAGAAAAAGAAGGTGACGTTTTATGTATTGGTAGTAGATAGGGCTGTGATAGTAAGAGTTATTGTGAATAACTGGCACAGAGAGTAATTCTAGGGAAACGTGGAAGAATGGCAGAGAGGTGAGTCACAAGTAGGCAATACTTGGTAACAGCATCAAGTTATATCTACAATGCATACAGACATCTGGACTGTGAATAGGATAATTTTATCAAATTAGTAACAATATTTAATAATGGAAATGCGAAGCTTAGAAAAATTTGAAACCCAAATAAAGTCATTAAGTAACAAAATCGGTATTTGTCATGACTCATTGGTCTATTGTAAAATAAATTTACTGGGTTATGTAGCATTGAGAAAATAGAGAGAGAATTGGGGCGGGGGTGAACAGAAAGGAGAGCACTACATATAATAAGGTTCATTATTGTTTCGTTAACGTTTTGTTTCATTTATTTGTGTGCATGCGTGCTGGGGTGGAATATAAAATACATTTCTGCATAATGGTGAAAAAGTTTAAGACATGGATAATAGGATGTAATTAAGAACATAAGTTTATTAATTCAGGAATTATATATAATATATATTATATAACATATTACATATTATATATAGTTATACTATATTAAATATTATAATTATATAATATATTACATATTATATATAATTATATTATATATTACATATAATATATATAAAATATATGTGTATATATATATATGAAGACTGTGGGATTAGGAATAAATAGTTACCAAATAAATGTCAAGAAATAAATATACTCCAGAGGGAAAATAACATTGTATACATAAGAATTTTAAGGGAGATTTACTAAGAAAAAAATTACAACACAATTATCTTTGTATCTAAAGCATCTAGGCCAGTGTGTGCCCCAAATGAGGTCCTCTGTTTGATGATATGAATTCTATTCATTTGATGATTAACTACCAAGTTTTAATATTTGTATTTTCTTCCAACTTTACTTTTCATATGGGCATGCATTAAAACACATGGTGTTAAATCTGCTTTTTGCAAATATGTATAGTAAATACTTCTTTTGAGACAAATGAGCAGTATCTATTGTCTAATCAGAGTGGTCTTTGATTTACAGGTAATCCTCTCTCTAAAGGTTAGTCTGAAGACTACTGTGTGTTACAGCTCACTGCACACCATCTGTGTTTGAGGAAGTTATTGCAGCACTGTGGCTCCTGCAGATTCTTTGGACAAAGGTTATCGAGTATATCACCGTATCTTTCTCGGTTCCAACTACTGGTTAAGTTAAAGCAGAGATGTTTCACAAGGACAGGGATTGTAGAAGCCTTAAATGATAGAGCAGCCAGAATGCATACATTCATGATAGTGTAGAGACTATTCCAAAAAGTAGTGTCTTCAAGTAAATAATCAAGAATGTTAGCTTGACTGGACTAATCTTTTCTATTTTGTTAAACTGTATCATTTTGACTCAAATTTTTCCAAAGCTTCCATAAAAATATGAGATAACAAACTGGCTAATATATATTATTAGGCTCGAGAGATGGAAAACAATCAAATACTTACAGGAGCTGTAAGGAAAACAGTCCTTCAAATAAACTTTTGGGGAGTTCTGTGATTTTATTTCCATAGAGGACACTGAAAAAAATGTTTTAAATGAAAAAAATTAGACACCAAACCTGCATAACAAATTCATCTAATACATATTTCCTCAGGCATAGAGGAAGTTAGTAGGCAATCAATACATCATAAAAGTTACAGCTGAGTAAACAAACTTCATTTACAAATGTCTTTTGCCTGATTGCAGATCAGATATATGCCTACTGTAGGACATTTGGAAAACAAAAAAATAAAGAACATTATATATATATACATAATTTCCACTTGCATTGCCTTTTCATAGAAATGTTTCCTTTTAAGTTGTTTTTCTACTCACACACATACACAGTTCATATGTAATGAGAGCACACCATATATAACAAAGAAGAATGTTAAGTGTAGAATCAAGAATAGAAGAGTATGTAGTGACATAAAACTCCTCATGAGACATACAACATTAAGTAAAAAAGAAGCATGTTAAAGTATTATGTTAATTTTGTTTAAAAAATATATACATATATGCACAAAATAAAAGGGAAACATATTTAGATGGCAGATGATTTGCCATCCAGAGGTGATTTGAATTTCCATCTACATATTTTTGTGTATTTTAATATATCTCTAAAATAAGCATATATTATTTTCAAAGATCAGAGAGATATTCTTTTGGGAAATAAACAAATGGCTGCCATAACATATAAAGAAAAAGCTGAAATGAGAATCTAAATAATTGATATGTTTGGCAGCAGTATATAATCTCTTTTTGAAAAGGAAGAAAATAACAATACAAGAGAAATGAATATGTGACAGAAAAGCTGGTCCTTTTTCAAAATGTCACAGAGAGGTAAGGTATATTATAAAATGTGAACAAAATCCTCAAAGGAATAAATAAAGCTGGGTGCTATTATAGTGTAAAGAGATATTCCATTCGTCTCTTTAGATTCCATGATATAACTATAAAACAGAACATGAAATTTTGTTTGTAGAAAACGTAGATTTCTTTAGAAAAGTAAATCAACTAGAAAAGAAGCCATTTTAAAAATCAAAGAACAAAAGAGAGGATTCTATATTGTCCAGAACGAGGCAGAAAGGGAACCAGAAAAGGTAAAGCATGAATAGATATATATTTTGAGGTCAAGATTAACAGAAGAGCGGGCATTAGGAAACACAAATGAGTAGATTAAGATGGCACCAATTTGGGATGTTCAGTTCAATATCATTCAATTCATTCACTCAGCAATACCGATTGTGCCAGTAACGTAGCCAGATTCTAAGTTTGGTGCTCAATTCAATTGTCATTTTTGAATGCCCATCATCTGCCCATGTCTCAGGCACTGATATGACTGAGATAAAGAAGATACGGCTTCAAAGGGAAATCCAAAAGAGTAATTTTGAATAGTCAAAGAGTCTGATATTGTGAATCCACTGCAATTTAGAAAGGAACAAAGATGTGTACAAATTGTGGAGAACCTGCATGAGGATCAAGGGGTAGACAATTTAGTAGGTTGTTCACTTGAGACTCTTGCTTTGAAGGTTGGCCCAAATAGCATGAAAGGAGAACAAGCTAGGAGATGCATCGTATTTATGTTGTGGAATTATTTTTTCCAATAAATCATTGTTTTCCTTAAGACCATGTTAAAAAGTAACAGATGCTATTGTAATGAGACAAAGTGGGTAAACAGCAAAAAAGGAGAAAATTACACTAGGATGCAGGAAATTTATCCGTATAGGTATTATTGCTGTATGGAGTATTAACCATGAGAATAATAAAGAAATACTCAATGTGATGGGAATGACATTTCTCCAAAAAGGTTTAGCAGGACTAGGGCTGGGTACAGTATTTTACATAGCAATGAGATCAAAATGACAGCAAGGAAAATAAGTTAAAATATAAAAAAATCCAAAGACCAGGATAGAGAAGTTGGATGACAGCCCAGGAAATAGGGCCAAAATCTATAAAAATGAGGGAAAGAAATATCATCACATAAAGATATAAACTAAGAGAAGGCCAGTGAGAATTTGTCCTATACTGTTGGAGGAAAAGAAATGTTTTAAAGAAATTGAAAGACAAAAGTAGAATCAGCTGAAAAGAAAATCAATACATGAGGGATGTGGATAATATCACCCAAATACCAAGAATGACTAATTGAGTATCTTCTCTACAGTTTATACATGACTTATGTTTGGCATACCACATAGACAGTATATACATATGTACTATTATATGTGTACAACATACAAATACTCTGATAGAGATTTTTTTTGACTAGTCTTTTGGAACAATAGGGAAATTTTAAGGCAGTTCTTGTACCTGCTGCTATAAGGAAGGCCAAGAATGTTAAACACAGTTTAGCCCTTGTGAGTTTCAGCATGAGGACAGTAAGAGGCAGCAATAGCTGGTGACCAGTGTTTGAGCTCTCCTGCTCTTGTTGAAAGCCGGCAGAGGCCAGGCGCGGTGGCTCATGCCTGTAGTCCCAACACTTTGGGAGGCCAAGGCGGCCGGATCACCAGGTCAGGAGTTCGAGACCAGCCTGGTCAACACAGTGAAACCCTGTCTCTACTAAAAACACAAAAAATTAGCTGGGTGTGGTGGCAGGCACCTGCAATCCCAGCTACTCGGGAGGCTGAGGCAAGAGAATCGGTTGAACCTGGGAGGCAGAGGTTGCAGTGAGCCGAGATTGCACCACTGCACTCCAGCCTGGGTGACAGTGTGACCCTCTGTCTCAAAAAAGAAAGCTGGCAGAAGACAACTCCTACTGAAGAGAAAAAAAATGTCCAAAATAGCAACCTATAAGATGACTATCATGAAAAAAGTGTCATGGGCAGAGGCTTTATTATTCAAAAAAATGTCAGGGAAATTATACTTATAAAATTTTTTAAATGTATACATTTGAAAGTTATAACTCGAAGTGATTTTTAGAAGAGTTCAGTAAAGATAAAGCAGAGGACAAAACAGAGGTGCTACCTTTTAATTTTCATTGAAAACCTGTAGTAAAATGCAAGATACTGGGCAGGAGAGTTAACAGCAGTTTAGGAAAAGGTTGCCAGAAATCTAAGTACAGCGTTCAAGTCTTCCACTGTAGACCCCTGTGGAATTTGGGAGCTAGTTCAAGAAATAAGGAAATGAGAGTAAATGAATTAAAATAGTTTACAAAGGGCTAATGAAGAAAATGGGAAAAGAGAAAAATCATACATTGAGGACCTTGGGCATAAAGAAAGATTCTCTGAAATAATTGAGATCCAGAAACATACAAATTGCTTTGTATCAAGAGATGAATTTGCCATGGCCATACCTATTATCTCTTGATGTTTACTCTATAACAAAGCCAGCAGGGAAGTAATTTTATCCTTATTTTAAAGATGGAAGAACTAACACCCAGGGAATTTACTAACTAGCTCAGCCTCTAACTATTAAGTACTAGAGCCAGGATTTGAACACAGCCATCTAGTGTCCTAAAGGTGATACGCTTAGTAGTATGCTACATTGATACTACACTTAAAACGTTTTGTTACTATAGAAGGAAGTTTCCAAGTAATAAGCAGAAAACAATAAAAACTGTTCACAGACAATGCTAAAAACACTAGTATGCTGAATTCTTAAGACATTATTACTAAATATTATAAAAACCTTGTTGATGTCACATTGAAAGATATTTTAAAATCCCTGAAGATAAAATGACATGATGAATGTTTGGTTTTTGTTTTGTTAATATATTGCATATTATACTATGTAACAATATATTAATATAACATTATAATTTTACATAATACATAATAAAAATAAATGATAATGTTAATTAAAAGTTATAGGATTTCTTAGTAGGAGAGGACATAAAAAACATTAGGTAAATCAAGTCCACTTGTCTCTAAGAGATGCAATTTTGGCGATTAAATAACTTGAAATTTTTATTTATTTATTTATTTGAGACAGAGATTCACTTTGTCGCCCAGGCTGGAGTGCAGTGGTGCAATCTTGGCTCACTACAACCTCCGCCTCCTGGGTTCAAGCAATTCTCGTGCCTCAGCCTCCCGAGTAGCTGGGATTACAGGCGTGCACCACCACGTTTGGCTAAGTTTTGTATTTTCAGTAGAGATGGGGTTTCACCATGTTGGCCAGGCTGGTTTTGAACTCCTCACTTCAACTGATCTGCCTGCCTAGGCCTCCCAAAGTGCTGGGATTACAGGCGTGAGCCACCACGCCTGGCTGAAATTTTTATTTTTTAAGTAGAATGCAATAGAGGTGCTTGGCATCATATCGCCTTCAAATATTTTCATGTATTTAGAAAATGCAGTGATTAAATTAATCTGTCTATATTCTTGAGTACGGTTCTAGAAAGGCATGGTATTAAAATATCAGGTGTAAGCGAAACTTGTAAGCAAAATTTTTATTTAAATAGAGGTGTTGCCTTGTACTTGCATGGTTTTTGTAGTAAACTACATACTCCCGAGTACTTTGCTCCCTTCTGGAAAGTTTTAACTCCTGGTCAGTATCATGATCTCCAGCACAGTTCTTTTCTGGAAATCTAGCTTTCACTGGCTTTCTTCCCCCACCCTAATTATAGTGTCCCAGACCTGTAGTTACAATTGCATTCTCTTCATTACTTCAGTTTCAAGCACCCACTACTCTCCAGTCACAGTGATATTTTTTGCTAATTCTTGAAACATCTAGCATATTCTTTGCTAATTCTTGAAACATCTAGCATACTAATACTTAGTATTTAACTGTTCCCTCTGTCTTGAATGCCTTTCATCTGTATATCTGTACTATCTACATAGTTCACTCTTCAGGTCTTTGTTGATCATCCTATTCAAGGTTTTAGCTTCCCCCCAACCACAGCATTCCTTATCCCTTGTTCTGTCTTTATTTTTATCCACAGCATTTTCATCTACAGATAGATGTAATACTATAAATATAGGTAAATTTTATGTATACTATACATTTGCCAGTTTATCATTGGTCTCCTCCATGAGGCAGGGATTTTTGTATTCTGGTCACTCTGTATCTCTAAACCCTCTACTAGGGCCTGGTACATAATCGGGCCCAATACATTTCTTTTGAACATATTAACTGTGGATCAATGAAGAAGAGAGCTATTGCAAATATGTGTAGTTATATATTTTAAGGAGGGGAAAATAACTTAATCTTTGGAAAGTGAACTCAAACTGAACATGACGAGGAAAATGATATGTATTATAACACGTGGGCTTTCCCTAAAATAACTCAGTTATTTGATTCTCTTCCAGTTTATCTGTTTTACAGTATTATGCAGGTATTCTACTTTTGGTAAACAGTTTGTAATCTTCCACGTATTGCTACATTTTGAACTGGAAAAACCCCAGTGACTTAACTCCCTCACTTAACTGCAGTTTACTTTATCCTCAAGTAAAGATAAAGCTTTTCTACGGTCTTCTAAGACAACTGGGTGTGTGAGTGCTCTCATCACAAGGCCTTAGATTTCAATGTAGCAATCATGTTATTTTACATGTGCTAGCAAATAGCAAAAGGAGTGACAACACACTATTTTATTGTTTATTAGATTACATAATTTGTAATCATGAATTACAGGAACCTGCTTATCAACAAACATAATGTAATTTATTGAGAGAAGTAACAAATTATAATAAGCTGTTCTATTTATAATTTACTTTTAAATATCTTTATATATTTTCTTTTAATTCTTACAACCACAGAAGTGTCAATTAACACTATTAAGGCAAGAGCTTAATATCAAACTCTGTAAGCAAGCCGATATAAATAAGAATTTCCCAGTGATTTCTCTTCTTCTTGACATATAATGGTTATCTTTGAGGACCAAAGTTGTGGAGAATCAGGAACTGATATGCTGATTTGCCTTTTGTCCTTCTGTATGATGGGGAGGTTGTCAATGTTTATTCTGGATAGTATTACTGTTCAGAATGGTGCTAACAGTACTTTATGGACAATCTGACTAGGTGATCTGAGTTTTACACTGAACCTAGTTATTTTAGAACCTGACAGTACAGCCTGAGAGCAATACACGACTACACTCTATATTTTCTGCCAGCAATTGTTCCTTTAATCTTGTGCTTCTTCTAGTCAAAACCCTCCAAGACAAAAATAAGTAAAAGTGAACCCAAGTGGATACTGCCACTTAAGCAACAGTTTTCCATTTTCCTTTTTAAAAATAAAATTGTAGTTTTTTTTTTTTTTTTTTTTTTTAACAGATTAACATAGCAATCTGAACACTCATGTGCCCAGATGAGCACTTCGATCTAGTTCTCCCCTTGGAAAGAGTGCCAGCATGTTGTTCCAGAAACTCCAGGGGTTTATCTGGGTCTCGCACATGTGTATGTCGGCATTCTCACTGGCTACCCCTGACCTCTGAAATCTGAAAGATTTCGGCAGGAATTGACATCAATAAGAACCTTTCTCTGAGTATCAGCTCTTAAAAAACAAAAATGTGCCGGCTTCCACTTTCGAATTTTAAAATCTGATCTAAAGGTTACTTGGTGGACTTTTGAAGATTTTTTTACAAGTATGAAGTAATATTAATAACAGCCTCTACACATTTAAACTTCTTTAATTTACATAGTTATCTTTCTGAAGGTTCTCTTGACATTAAAAAGCTGTCATATTTTAAAATCTTTGTTCTTTGAGAGATTAAAAGCTTATTCTTTTAGGATAGCATTAAGGTGATGAAAAAGAGTGAAGGTTTCCTCTCAGTGGTCATCTTCAAGTGTTCTCAGCAAGATTTTGCCTAGCATTTCAAAGGAGACTGATACTGTCCCCAGATACTAGCTATATGCTTTCCAAAATAAATATTTTCTTTTTCTTTTAGAAATAAAAAAATGGTCAAAAAGGGGATCTAACTCTTGCTCTCCTAACAGCAAAATGATCAAACCATAAAATATACACCCCTAAAAACTGGTGAATTTTAGTGACGGGTAGCAGTCCTCCATAAAAATAATGGGATCCAGTAATGATTAATAATCATTAACATTATTAATAATTCATTATTCACAATAAAAACCTAAGAGTATTTTTAAACCCCAATTTAAAAAAGGTAGCCACTCTTTGCTGTGGTTTCTGTTTTCCTTCAGTGACCCAGTGAATACTTACAGTGAATTCAGAGAGCGTAGTCCTTGGAAAGCATCTGGTGCAAGTTCAGAGATCTGATTATTGCTCAGGTCGCTAAGATTAGAAATAGGGTTAGGTTACATTCAATCGAATGTCAGTGAGATTTACTGTGGAAATAGCTACGTATGGCTTTTAAATGTTGGTTTTGTACTCATCAATACATGTACAAAATGTGCAACATTTAATATCTGAAGGATCCGAAATTTAAAGAAGAAATCATACTTAAAAAAATAACCATTGTCTATTTTTCCATATAAGATGCCATGTCTTATTTTTGACAATAGAACACCTGAATATATTTGCAAAATATATTGACCATAAACATTCACATTTGTGTGAATCAATATGCTAAATTACAGAGACCTTTAAAAATTACACAGTTTAGATATTAAGATTAAAATATTATTACAGAGCTAGTAATCAGTCACATCACTTAATATTTAAGCTGTCAAACACTGATATACTCATACTTAGGTTTCTTTGCATGGTCTCATGACCTGTCTAATTTTTAAAATTACATATATTGTAGAATATTGTTCACTCACATTCTTCTAAGCTTTTTATATGGTGAGAAAGCTCCAGGAGGGATGACTTTGATTGTGTTCTGTTCCAAACGTCTGCAATGAAAAAAAATTCAACTTTTAAATGGAGACGTGAACCTTCAGACATGTTTAATTCAAGCTCAGGACTGATGTCAAGAAGTAAAATTGATGTTCTTCATGACTGATATATTTTTTTCCTGAAAAATAAGCACTAAATTTAATTTTTCTGTCCCTAAATGTGAAGCAAATTGGGATTAAAAATAAGGCAATTATAAAAATAATTAAAATATTCAGATTTTTAAGTACTACATATGCATCAATATTTAAGTCTGGACTTTGCACAAAAGAAATAATATCTTTAAGAAACTAACTTAGGAGTACATTTTAATTACCTTAATATAAATTAGAGAAATAGGTAGAAATACTGAATAAATCTATTACATATTTTAGATACAATCATACCTCTTCCACAAAGAAAATTACTGTTGAATATTAAATTTTATAAAACTTTTATTTCCTCTACAGAAAGCGTATTATAGGTTAAAAAATAATTTTATACTCACAAAATTAATTTTGAAGCTTCTTATGAGGCAAAATGTTAAATTATAAATCCATATATGCTACAGATACTTTCAGTAAGACAGTCTAGGCTCTGTGGATTCATTTTGTGAATATTTCACATAAAAACCACTGCAGCGAAGTGCATTTGAGCACAACTGAAGTATTTTTATGGTATACTAAAATCACAGAGTTGAAAATAACTCTGATATCATCTACTCTATGGTCCTGCTAACAGAGAAAGACAAGATTTTACCCACCTAGTCATGAATCAACGCACATATCAGTAGATTTCATGAAGTCTTTGGTATATATTTTAGTCTATCAAAAAAAATGTTGCTGCTCAGCCTCCTTTCTCTCTAAAGAAACATCGTTATGATCATTTCCCATCCCCTTCGCCTCTGTTCTGCTCTGTGTCCCAGAGAGCTGACTCCAGTGAACCACATATCCCAGGCTCACTTGCCAACAGGCTGCTGTGAGATTTGCCAGTGACAGACACTGGTAGGGTGGTGAAGGGATGGCGGAGAGGAGAAGCTGGGGTATGTCTTCCTTTCTCTGTCTCACGGGATGTCTACAGAAGTGGTCTCGTCTCCTTCCTAATTTTACTTTCTGCTGGTGCCACCTTCTAATTTTGTAAAATACCAGCTCCTTCTGTCTTTATAGCCCTGGGGTGGTAGCAGTTTTTTCCCTGTTATCTTCCTGCAATTGTTTAGTCCATTCTCTATATTAAATCCCTCTGTTTTTCAACCGAAAAATAGAGTTCATTTTCAACAGGAAAATAAAGCTCACCTAGCATGAGTTCCACTTTCCTGTCTGGATTTGAAAAAATATATGCATATATATATTTTATAAATATATATATGTATGTATACATGTGTATATATTTAAATATGAATATATATCATGAAAGCATACCATATATGTGTCATATACATTAATTCATTTTTATTGAATGTTGGTAATACTTTAACACAGACACACACACACACACACACACACACACCATTTAATGAAAATAAAATCAAAACAAACAAATTATCCCTAGGACATTAAATCAAATTGCCAAAATTTTCATCTTTTCTGATTTCAAAGCCCTTTTCACAGTGCTACGGTTTTTCTTCAACAGTATCAGGGTTCATTCTCTGACCTCTTTATTTCACCATTCAACGGGTTTCCTCAGTTTTCATTGCTCTTGAACTCACTGTAACATTTGATATTACTAACAATCTTTTTTCGTTTTGATGAGACACTCTAGACTATCTCCTTGGTGCTTACTGTACTTGGAAAATGTAAAAAAATATGGTTAAAAACTAAATCCATAATGCACACTCAGATCAGTGAGTTTTACTTTAGCGTTTTTTTGCTTGCATATTTATTTTATATAATTGAGGTATTACTGCATACAGAATTTTGAGCATATTTTATGTAACTGAGGTATTACTGCAAATAGAATTGTGTGTATTGTCTTTACATCCAACATCATATCACACATGTATTGCTATATCATTAAACATTTTGGAAGACATTACTTTTAATGCCTTCATAATATTCCATTGTCGAAATGTATCCTATTTCCTCAATTCTTTCTTATTATTGGACATGTATGTTAGTGATACTTTTATACTAGTATTGATATCAATAATGCTGTTATTTTAAGACAGCGAAAACATGGTCTCCTTTTAAATACTTTCCTTATTTTCTTAGGTATAATGAGTTGTGCCTTTTCCTATATACACAAGGACACCATCTTAACTCCTCTGTTCTTATTTCACTGTATTCTATTCATTTTCACATATCCCTGCTCACTGGGTTCTTGGCTCCTAATGGGCGGATTTACTCCAGAAGACAATAAATAAACTGTATGATGGAAATATGAGTTTGTCATCTGTATTATTTATCTAGGTCGTAAGAAAGGGAGTTTTTTTTCAAAAGCTCTAAATAGAGTAAAGGATATGTAAATAATTTGCCTGTTACTTTATTGATTAGAATGTTTTGATTGACAGTTAAGAGAAATTCTTTTTGGCCTTTATTCATTCTTATAGTAGAATTTTAAGCTTAAAATGTAATCAATCAATATACAGAGAAAACGAGCTACAGATGGAATAATACTGATTGGTTAGAAGACTTCATATCCTGGCCAATTAAATATTATTTCAATGTGTTAAAGATTTGCTCACAATAACATAGTGCTATGATGAGAAAAAATAATAATTCTTAGTGACTAGCAGATTTCTTTTAATAGTAATGCAAAGCTAGTTCATATACTACTTTTCATAGATATGATTTCAGGTTCTTGAAAATAATCTAAAGAAACCAATAATCATTAATTAGTTCATTCACCCTATAAATATGTAATGTCTACTCTGTCCAAAATATTATGCTATATGACTGGAATTCAATGATAATCAAAAAACAGAGATGTTCATACATTTGTGAAAGTTTTATTGATAAATAATCTTATTTTGCAGTTAGATTTCAAAACAAATTTCTCCAATATAAGTCTTTTTATAATGCTACATTCAGCATAGAGACTTCTGAAATGTCAATAACCTGAGCTCACAAATGTGGCCAAACTAATTCTATAATTTGATATAACTGAAGATATTCCTTGGAAATTTTAAAATTCATTTATTATTTTAAAGTCTCAAACTAGAATACTCGTGATGATCACTAATTTTTCTAATGACACTCAAATATATGTTATGATAATTTCTGTAATCAATCTACAACTAATTTTACTGATTGAAGGCAAAAAAACCCCAAATTATACAATAAATAAGGCCTTTGTTTTTTGAAAATGCATACTCTAAAAGTTATAAAACAAAGAGAAGTCATGATAAAATGGCATTATATTTTTATATGCAAAAATAAGACTTTGGACACATTTGAGTGATGCTGTGTGAATCATCTGTTATTGCAATGTACCAAGGACTTGATCTTCACATTGCAAACTATTGCATTTACATGTAAAACAGAAAGTTGTACAATGACATGTACCATGGATTTGTTTACTTTTATTCATTTATCTATTTTCAATCTTGTTCCAAAAAAAAGTATTTGATACACAGTTTACGTTGCTATTTACACTGACTCAGTAGCGAACTGGTTTTTATTGCACTGTCTCAGCAGTTCATTAAGGCAAAACATAATTGCATCCTTCATTCAGAGGGACAGATTCTGTAGCAGGAAAATATTCTACCATGGACAGATGTCAAACAATAAATTGTAATATATGACAAAATGCCTGTTGTCTCTTCCTTAGTGGACGAACAATAAACTAATTTGTACTTATTGCAAATGTTTGGGTCTTTAGAATAAAGAGTTTGTCCTTTTCATTGTAAGAACTTTAGAATATATTTGATAAACTAAAACCAACACACATCTCAAATGATGTCCTTTGTCCCACAAAAAGAAGAAAACATACTTAGATCATAAAAAATAAAGAAGTGAAATACTAAAGTTTTTGGGTTGAGGTACAAAGAAAGGGCAAATAAAATTTACATTTTCTAGCATTGCTGTCCTGCAATCTGTGCTTTAATAGCATAGAAGCTGCTGAATTTTATAGAGTGCAAATTTGAATCCATTGTTCCACAAAGAACCTAATTAAAAACATTCCAGGATTACAAAAATAGATAGTATAATGGCTAAGATATATTTTCATGCCATGGATAAAATCCACCATAATTAAGAGATTTTCAAATGCCAGTCCTTCAGAAAAAATTCAGTATCATGAGTTTCAAAGTAAAAATAGATTTAGAAAGTGATTAGGGGAGGAAAGTACTGTAAATCACATACTACAGGAAAGACTTTTCCATGTAAAAGGAGCCAACACCTTTTTCTCCACATAATTTATGGAAATGATTGCATAACATCTTATCACTGTACGTGTTTGTGTGTTTACATACATACATACATGGAACCAAAGCAATGGCTGTTACTACTCTTTCAAATGTAGAAGGAAATTTTAGTTACATGCTCAATATATAAGATGAAGACAGTTTTCTAACTGCACCATTAAAAATAACTCAAAAGTATGTTTATCCAATAAAAGACTTCTTCCCATTCTGTTTCCACTTTTACAATTTTTTCTCTTGCTCTCTAATTACTGCTACCTCATTATACATATCTTCACGCCTTTAAGGTTCCTAAAGAATGAACTACAAACAATATATAACACTTTCTGGTGTCTATTTCAAAAATTATAGAAAACAAAAAATCATGAAATATCCCTCTGCTTTAATACACAAGACTCTTAAAACATGTCAATTATGTGCAGCTATCTTTTAGTCCAATGAAGTCTAATTCTGCCCCTTGTGGACTGATGGGCTCTGTCTGTAACACATCAAATACACTAATGGTTATCAGTGAGCAGATCTTACATCAGTAGAGTATACAACATGCAGTATGATGGGGCAATTAAAAAATAGTTCTAAAGACATTTACAAGACATTAAACAGTATTAGCACTTTAAATGACACTTTCAGCTCTCTAGCATTCAATTCTTAGACATTATTTTC